GTCAGGGTCAGGGTCAGGGTCAGGGTCAGGGTCAGGCCTCAGGCCTCAGGGTCAGGCCTCAGGGTCAGGCCTCAGGGTCAGGCCTCAGGGTCAGGCCTCAGGGTCAGGCCTCAGGGTCAGGCCTCAGGGTCAGGCCTCAGGGTCAGGCCTCAGGGTCAGGCCTCAAGGTCAGGCCTCAGGGTCAGGGTCAGGGTCAGGGTCAGGGTCAGGGTCAGGGTCAGGGTCAGGGTCAGGGTCAGGGTCAGGGTCAGGGTCAGGGTCAGGGTCAGGGTCAGGGTCAGGCCTCAGGGTCAGGGTCAGGGTCAGGCCTCAGGGTCAGGGTCAGGGTCAGGGTCAGGGTCAGGGTCAGGGTCAGGGTCAGGGTCAGGGTCAGGGTCAGGGTCAGGGTCAGGGTCAGGGTCAGGGTCAGGGTCAGGGTCAGGGTCAGGGTCAGGGTCAGGGTCAGGGTCAGGGTCAGGGTCAGGGTCAGGGTCAGGGTCAGGGTCAGGGTCAGGGTCAGGGTCAGGGTCAGGGTCAGGGTCAGGGTCAGGCCTCAGGCCTCAGGGTCAGGCCTCAGGGTCAGGCCTCAGGGTCAGGCCTCAGGGTCAGGCCTCAGGGTCAGGCCTCAGGGTCAGGCCTCAGGGTCAGGCCTCAGGGTCAGGCCTCAGGGTCAGGCCTCAGGTCAGGCCTCAGGGTCAGGGTCAGGGTCAGGGTCAGGGTCAGGGTCAGGGTCAGGGTCAGGGTCAGGGTCAGGGTCAGGGTCAGGGTCAGGGTCAGGGTCAGGGTCAGGGTCAGGGTCAGGCCTCAGGGTCAGGGTCAGGGTCAGGGTCAGGGTCAGGGTCAGGGTCAGGGTCAGGGTCAGGGTCAGGGTCAGGGTCAGGGTCAGGGTCAGGGTCAGGGTCAGTAAAGGGTCAGGGTCAGGGTCAGGGTCAGGGTCAGTAAAGGGTCAGGGTCAGGGTCAGGGTCAGTAAAGGGTCAGGGTCAGTAAAGGGTCAGGGTCAGTAAAGGGTCAGGGTCAGTAAAGGGTCAGGGTCAGTAAAGGGTTAGGGTTAGGGTTAGGGTTAGGGTTAGGGTTAGGGTTAGGGTTAGGGTTAGGGTTAGGGTTAGGGTTAGGGTTAGGGTTAGGGTTAGGGTTAGGGTTAGGGTTAGGGTTAGGGTTAGGGTTAGGGTTAGGGTTAGGGTTAGGGTTAGGATAAGGGTTAGGGTTAGGGTTAATTGTATTAAATTATATTGTCGGGGGGCTAATTGTCGGGGGTCAATTGTCGGGGGGTCAATTGTTGCCCACCCGTTTAAATACTATCTGCAGCTAATGTACATGATTCTAAAACTAATATAAATAATTCTAAAACTCAAATTAAAGTCTTTCGGTTTAATATAGTATTGCTCAATGAGATGGTGTGGAAATCGCTCATAAAACATTAGTAATGTTTGTGCCTACTATTAAAAGCCAGGGAGTGTTTTAGATGAGATTTGTAGTGAAATCAACAAGAAAATGTACGAGGAAATTCAATCTTGCAATTTGATGAACAAGAGATCAGTAACGAAAGAGAAACCATGCGAATGCTTGGAAACTGTTTGTTGTATATTGGACCAGTTCAGTATCACCTGGCTAAGGAAGGCGATACCTCTTGCAGAAGAAATTGACAAGTTGAAAAGTGAGAAGATTTCAGATCAGAGTATTATCATCGATCTTCAGAATAAGGCTATTGAAAGAAGCAACAAACAGCTCAAATCAATGCAGAATACCGTGCAAACGGAGATGAAAAGCTACTCTTCAGTCGTTAGAAAAAGCATCAATCCTGCTTTCGCCCCGAAGAAGATCCACGCTGCAGTTAAAAAAGTAGAAAACCAGATTGAGTGAAGCAAGAACGTAATCATTTATGGTCTATCAGAATCAGAGAACGAGCAACTGCTGAGTAATGTTGAGGAGGTTCTGAATGAAATTAGTGAGAAGCCTTTAGTCAGGGACTGCTGCTGTATTGGAGCTCCGAAAGAAAATGTATCCAGACCAGTAAAGTTCACATTGAGCAGTTCTGACCATGCAACACCAGAGATCAGAAACACCAGTACACTACGCTCAAAGGAGGGGAACAGCTCAGTTTACATCTGCCCTGATAGGACTGCCACGGAACGAAAAGCTTATAAAAAGCTTGTAGAAGAACTGAGACTGAAACGAACTACAGAGCCTGACAAGTTTCATAGTATTAGGAACAATAAGATAGTCAGCTTGTAGAGAGTATAACTAGAGGCGAGACTGGCTAAAATTATTATTCCTACTTATCTAAATTTAAACATTATTATTGATTTTGATCTTGAAGGGACCATAATTTTTGAGGCCATTACTTGCCAATGATGTCAATGTTTATTTCAGGATTACCACTTTTGGAACTCAATAAATGTATCCTTGTATCCTTGTATCCTTGTATCCTATCAGGTCCAGTTACTACAAAATGCCGTAGCCAAAGCTGTTGATAGGCAATATAAACATTACCATCTTGAGGATGAACTGATCAATCTTTACTGGTTGGATAATGGATATAGAGAAGAGGATTGAATTCAAAATCTCACTACAAAATCTCACAAATCCATACTAGGATTGGCTCCAACTTATCTGCAAGATATGTTCGGATTTATGTTTGGTGTAGGTAGCCTCTCTGTAGTAGCTTCTAAGATGTACAATCAATTTGCTAATTCTTTGAAATCATTAAAGCTCTTCTAAAAACTTTGTCGAAAAACTATTCAAGTCATATTTGGTGAAAGACCTTCAATTTAAAAAATATAACCTCATCGAATATTTTGAAATGGCCACAACCCATTTAAATATTTTAGTTTCTCTTATTCCGTCACATCTTACTATACATTTCTAACAAAGTAATCGTATAGTATCAATTAAACCAATTCAGTATCAACAAACCACGATAAACTATGTAGAAGATAAGAGGTATGTCACAAATAGAGCCGACTCTAGAGGAAAAAGCATATGATAAAAACGATAGGAAATAGTATGAATGGGTACTCCACATCAAAGAGAATACATGAAAACATAGTTAGTAATCAAATTACACATCAAAAAGATAACCAAATAGGGTGAAAAGGAGTTTCGAAATGCGACAATAATACTGAAAAACAACCTAGGTATTATTGTGAAAATATGACATTATTTGCTTTAGCGCTCGATTTTCATACCACGGTGTAAATATTCGAAAATATGCGCGGCGCACCTAAAATTTTGGTTCCATTAAACATGAATTTTTTGGTCAAAATTATATTAAATATACTTTAATTAATTGTTATTACAAGATATAAGTTTAAAAATTTTCAAAATATAGCATATAAGTACCAAAAATAAATTGCGCGCAAAAAAGTCAAAATTTTTACCACTTTTTTGGATTTTTACCTCAGAACAAATAGAGGGATTTGTTTTATTTTTACACAATCTTGTGCGGCTGTCTTTTAGCTATCTTCATGCAAGTTTTGCCGACATACCAACAAAATTAACTTGCTCAAAATATCAAAAAACATGGTTTTTTGGCCTATTTTTGGCCCAAAAATCGGTTTTTTGCAATTTTACCCCAGAACAATCAGTCCAATCATTTTAAAACCACTTTCAATCGATTCTACGGTCAAAAATACGTCTAGTAAGGTGTATCTGGGGTCCCTAGCGTATCGAGCAGACAATGCCCGTAAGAGCCTTTACTATAATAATGTATGCGTCTAATTCATCATAAATGGAAGGCGCGCCGGTGTAATTTTTGCGCGCGAATTTACGATTTAAACGAAAAGAAACTGCAGGGCACTAGAAGTGCGATTTTCACGAAATGTACTCCCCACCCCCCCCCCCCCACCTCCAGCCTGCAAGATTTCTTGCCCCACAAATTATTTTCTATTTAAAAAGATTTCGCGAATCCCTTTGTAAGCGAAAAGTATGTCACTGTTATTGGATCCATAAATAACGAAAAATTTACGTGCGTATTTTCATGAATTATATTATGTTACATATTGTAATTATGGTAAGCCTCACGTAGCACGATGGTTGAGGGCGCGCTCGTCAAGCAGTTGTCTCGGGTTCGAGTCTCGTCAGCGGTCATTCTTTTGGCAATTATTAATTATTTTACTAAAATTATCATCAAAGCACCTTGTAATATACGTTATCCGATAGATTATACTGTTCGTACTTCATCTAGAGAACTAAGAGACTGAGAAGACCGGCATTTAAGGATTTGTCCGGGGAAGGCCTCGTTCACACTGGAACATGTCAAATTATTGTAAACGGAGTTATCTGGTAATGTTTGTTTTGTTTATGGCTAGAATTTAGAATGGAATCAATGTGATGAGGATCCAGAGTTAATTACCTGCTAGGATTAATAAGTCAGTTCTCCAGTTGAAGAGACCCTTTCTCAAACTTTTAATGAAGAAATATTCACTATGCCTATGGCAGTATCAAGTATATTCTGAGAAAGAATATAGCCAGGAATAGTACCTCCTTTAATGGTAACCATGGTAACTATAGTAACCACTGTGAATCTTGATCTTATAACAACTAGTATCCTTTAAGACTTAGACAGTACAGTGAATAAACACGCTGAAAAGCGATGAAAATGCAAGCGCGCGACCGAATATGTAGTGCTGAAAGAGGGTGCCGAAATCTCGCGGAGAATCTCACGATATTGTGAGCCTAGCTATGGGATTTAAACGAAACTCGCAAAAATCTGGCAAAAATCTCGCGCGCGTTACGTCGAAGTTTTCACGCTATAAACAAGTGATAAAATACACGTTAAGAGTATAAAATACATGTTAAGTTCCTAATTCCCTCAACTTTTAAGTTAAACTTTTTCTGTTTCCTCATTTATTTACAAATTTTGTGCGATGAGTCCGGCTGCAAAAGGTGGTCTGCGGAGAATTACTACGCAGTGATGAAGTAATACTAATGCTACCTCTGCCAACTGTTATCTTATCTGTTCTGATTGTTATTCCAATTTGATCGCTGTAACATTAGCTGATAAGCTATTACACTCTAACAGGTGAGGTGTTATCAATAAAGCCTCTCTCAAGCGTTAGTGACGGTGGAAGTAACAGTGAACAAGAGCCGAGGGAAAAGGACAAGAAAAAGGAGTCTCTAGCGACTCAGCTGACTCCAAACTCTTTTACCAGACATGGATATAACGTTGAGCATCTCAGAGGGACCATATGTGGGCCTTTGCCCGGTTAGTAGAGTGAATAGAACAAATAATGGTCTGTTAACTTTATGATTCTCATGCTGAATCATCTCGACGTTTTTTTTTCATTCAATCTCCCATTAAAAATTCAGTTAAAATAACGAGTAACAGCGTTTTTCTGACAGCTCCCAGCAGCAAGAGACATGCCATTCCTGTATCCTTACCAGTGGCCTCAAGTTATCTTCCAAGTCTAAAAGCTGATAAAATCTATCCTCTGACATTAACTCGTTACAAGTTTTACACAACTTATTCTCCAGGTATGGTGACCAAAGAGGGACGAACTGGAAAACACAGACACGACCCCACCAAAACCACTGTTCAAGATCATTACAGACATCAGTAAAGACTTTACTAAAGTGGGAAACAAGTAGTGTGTGCAATGTTAGGGAATCTAAACGATATATGAGCGATGATCAGTTCAGTAGTGGTTAAATATCAACTGAATTATTAGCGAAACAGTATCATAGATTTCCCAATTTCGCCAAGTGAGGAGTTACTGAGCAATCTCTTTGCCGTTTTCTCAAATTATGTGTGAAGTGCATACCTGAGCATTAGTTTGTGTTATGAATAATCAATACCGGTTAACATTTCATTTATACTGGAGTTTTACAAGTGTTTTTTGTTTTTAAATGACACTGACAAATCAGACTCGATTATAGATGCGTCAAGAACTTAGGTCTAAAAAGGGCCACAGGAAGAATCTTGTATAATATTTGCATATTGGTACCTATGTCGTGTATAACATAATTTATCTGCGGTTTAATTTATAACAATTCAGATAAGAGTGGTATTTTATCTTTTATTTTGATAGACATCAACTAACAATTCTTGTGGGACCATCAATATTTATTATCTCTCTCTAATCTAATTCATCAGTCTTATTAGTCTAATATAAAGTAGACAATAAAATACAACCTTCTTCAGCAAAGAAATTCAAACTAAAATAACCCCTATACTAAGTAAAAATTAATAACAAAATCGTGAACGAAAATTTATTTTCAGCACGTATCAGGGCAATATTCTGCGATCTACTCAACCTTTTTAATAATTTAACAATAGCTTTCGTCTGATTGTTCCGTATTAAACCAGCAACTTCGAAAGATCTGAAAGTTGAGAAACAAAAACATTTGTATCTTCATCAAGCAATATTTTAGTGGACGCCAACAAAGACTTTTAAAACAATACACATATTCAAGCCACTGCTCACGTGCAGTAATCCGTTATCAACATCAGAATAACTAAAAGTGTCATGACTAACATCATCATTCAAATATAGCAGATTTAAACATAAAGTTTCTAAAATTAACCAACATTACAGCTATACCTACTTCTAGTCCTATATCTACACTGATCTTAAACACCACTTATTTCTGTGGTCTCTGGTTTCAAGTTTTTGAGATTTTATCACACTTTTGACTTTGAGCTTCTCCGCCAGAGCTGGCATGTCTTCTAATTTACTCTCTTTATGACGTCACGTGACCGGAAGATAACATTATGTGAATATTTCTGCGTTAAGAATCTGGATCCTCCTATCAAACGAGTGCATGTGTCTAGATCCGAATAACACTAAGATTGCTCCAGCCAAGCACACTGTTAACATTACTACCGCGATCACCCTGAAATATATTGTATCACGTGGTGACCCCCACTGTCGCTTCACTATAGTGTAGAGTTTCAACGATACAGGCGGGTCAATATATATATATTTCTTGTCATACGTTGTATGACCCGCCGGGTCATACAACGTATGACAAGAAATATATGGGAATGTTCAACCACCATGTAATTGCTAGGGTTAGCATTTTGGACCTATGGGAAACTAGACAGTAGACATTAGAAACGCTTGGATCTAGTCTAAACAGTTAAATCCACTCAATTTCAATGCTTCTTAAATTTTCATTTGCGGTACACTTGTTTTATTGATTTGGTGTTCGTGTGAATACGGTTAAATGTTGGGCCTTGAAGAAAAAAATAGAAATATTTGGAAAACTACAGAAAATACATATACAAATTTTATTCTAACAATAACAAATCATTTAAAAAATCCGAACTGAAAATTTCTAGAATCCGTTGGAATACATCAGTAACACAAATATCGAACGACGAAAAATCAACAGGCTTTAAAAAATGCCCTGAAATTAGCAGGTTCAATTAACGGTCGATTACAAACAATCCAAAACTCACAACGACGCCAAAAAATCAAAAAAGCACGCTTGGCATATAACAATAAATATAATAGCAGAGTTTTGTCCTGCGGGTGCTTAACGTACACCTCATGAAGATCTGAGATCTCACCCAGTTTGTGACTACCCGATTAAGTAGCTCTTTCAGCCACGATTCACTCCCCCGTGGGACTTGTTTTGTCAACATTCCCCCCAGTTATCCGAGTGTAGAGGCTACAAAACAAATGGTTTCTCCGCAATTAATCTCAGGTGAACAGATCACGTTGAAGTTTCTCGTGGCGACTCTCAAATGTTTCGAGATGATTACTACCAAGAAAAACAAGGATAGGAGCAATGGAAAGAGCAGGTGCTAGAACGTACACCATCGCCCTGAAATAACGGAAATTAAAACGAGAAAATAACGGACATTAAAACGGGGAAATAACGGACATTAAAACGGAAAAACGAAAATCAAAACGGTAAAACACGACCAGTAAGGGACAACGAATATCTGCGAAAACTATTCAAATTGAAAACGTATCAAACGGATCAAACACACGGTACAGACATAATATATTACAGAGATTTTTCCAGAACCCCCTCCAGATTTTACAAGTGATCAAATACTAATTATTAACATATGTATATTGCAACGAACATGAAAGGAGTATTTCAGATATTTTAATTGAAAGTAAACGTGATAGGAATACATCGTTGTTACCATCGAAATATTAAAATGTTGAGAATTGCTGTGATTTAATGTTTTATTTTCAACGACCACCTATAGTGACCTATTTTCAACTTTGCCGGCATATTGGTAAATGTATCCCTAAAAGCCTCTCATTGTGTCTCCTTATTATATACATTTTAAAATTAATTCGATTGCAGTTGTGATTAAAAATACATATTAATTTCCTGACGTAACCTAAACCTCTAATAAATTTATTATATAATACTTTAACCACATGAAATTTCGCTTTTTAATCACAAAAAATATCAAAAAGAACTTGTACTTGTAATCAAAGACAGATAAACGTTACTCACGGCGGCCCGAAGGCTTGAAAGAGAGAAGTGAAGATAGCGGGACCGACAGCGCGTGAAAATGAGCCAACTGCGGTGAGTATTCCCATCACCGTACCCTAAACAGTTGCAACGTGAGAGATTGAGAGTGGTGAATTAATTAAGGGAAAGTAAACAAAAGAAATGTTAATTTTCATCAAATAATCACTACACAACAGATAACAGGAGCTGTAATAATAATACAGATTATTTTATATTTACTGATAAATTATATGATACCTGTGGATGAGGTCCCAGAATCTTAGAAGTTCGGCTCAGTAACAGAACTACTCCAAGAGGGTAGCTGAACAGTAGTATGCTATCTGGGGAGAAATTTCAGTCTTATTAAGTGAATCGTGGTCGGTATTTTTTAAATCGGTTATTTGCCTGCTTAAGTCACAGATAGATAACGCAATTCAATTGTAATCTAGCTGTATTTCTCCCACTTTCCCATCAATTTTCATGTGTGAAGTGTCCCCAAGTTTTTATCCGTGTATTTTTTACCACGAGAACTAATTAAATCCAATATTATATGAAGTTTTTATGGACGAATGAATTTATCGCTTACAATTTTAGTTGGATCGATTAAATCTGAGTTTTTAGTAATACAGCTCATAAGACAGTCATGAGTCAGGCGTCAGTCCGAATGCCCATGTAATAGCGTTACCGTGTGTAAAGTAAATGATTATAACTATGCATGAGTATGAATTTTCGAGTTTTAACTTTATAGATGATTGTGAACACGATGAAAACTGTACGACATACGACATGCCAACTCAGTTGGCAGTCTTGGCACGTGTTCACAATCATCTAAAAGACTTGCCAGACTGACTTTTTTACGATGTACGTACGCGCGTACGGGACTGCCTACAACGCGCGCTCAAAATCGACGCGGGCGCGCGCAATCTTAGTTTGGAAAACGGCCAGCATTCTATAAAATCGTTACCGCGCGCTACAAACACTACCGAAAAAAGGCATCACAATTTGAGATTCCTTTTGAGAGATTGCCACACGAACAAGCAACAACAAAGTACAAACAAACCAAAAACATAAACAACAAATTCTGAAATCCGAAAAGTTCCTTTAACATTTATGTCTCGAATATGTTTCGATTGACTGCAGGTTTTATTATTACTAGATAAAAATACCTCATTGAAAAACAGTAGTCAGGAGTGTAAAGCTACTTGACACGAGACTGTCACGCAGTGGCGTAACGTTGCCTGTTGGCGCCTCCGCCGAATATGCACTCCCCTGTTGGCGCCCCTCCCCTTTTGGCGCCCCTCCCTAAAATTGAACAAATTAAGTGATTTTAGAGGATACGCCGGTAAAATCTCTAAAAAAGTGTGTTTCTAGATCAAAACGCGCAGTTTTGCTAATACCTCAGTTAAATTTTTCAAAATTGTCCCACATTCAAACGCCCCCCCCCCCCCCCCCCCCCCCCCCCCGCACAGCGAGGTCAGCGGGGCCCTTAGTTACGCCACTGCTGTCACGTGTCTAATTGTGGCTAAGATCAAACAGTATTAGAAGAAAATACAAAATAACGAGGAAAATGGTACTTGAAACTTACTGGCAACGAGAAACTGAGCAATGTTGAGACGATGCTGAGTGTGACACCATTTGTTCTGCCAGTTACACCCTGTTACCTCCGTATTATTCTGAGGAAAACAATTAGTTGTAAGTTAGTTAATTAACTAATTAACACAATATAACCGTTATCCTGAAATTACAAACCGGATAATTGATAGGGCTTTTTAATGACTTCAGACACTATTTTCAAACCAGTATTAAATGGGTATACTCATATTGGCAGAAACAATTTGATTAAAGAATCCGGAGTGAATAAGTTAAAAAAACAAGTTCTTTACCGGATTAGAAATGGAAACATTGCTGAGAGGAGTCCACTGTATCCGGGGTATATAGCCTGGTCCTACTGGATAGAAGAGAATGTACGCAAATGCGCTCATTGAGAACGCAATCCCCATCATCTTGCGCTCACCAAACCTCTTTCCTGTAATTATTTACGCTAAGTAACTGCGTTTTCAAGTTACCTTACAATCTGATATAAATAAGAGCAATTTTTGAGGGAAGGAAGTAGAATAATCCCAACATAAATAACATTCTTTTCGCCTCACATAAAACGAGGTATTTTCAGAGAAGGAATGTAGATAGTAGAATGTAGTAGTAGTAGTTGTCAAATGTCGACCAATTCGTAGAAATGTGATAATGGGAAAATACCAAGAATATGTTCATACGACTCACTAAATATGCGAAAAAAGTCATTACAACGAACAATAAATTCGGACAAAGTTCAAATAACACTAATAAATCTATGGCATTATCTTACCGAGAGGTGTAGCAATAGCAAAAGTCATGAAGGAGAACACGGAGGTGCAGGTTAAGAATATGCTGCTGTATTTGATAGCTTCTGTCTGGGACAACCTGGGTAATAAGAGGGGTTTTGAGTGATTAATTAATTAATTATAGGTATTAGTTATGTGATTATAGGCATTAATTATGTGATAATAGGCATTATTGAATTTCCAGATAGCTTATTTGTAAGAAGTCTAGTCTATGCAAGACTCAAGGGAACTGAAGGAATCTTAAAAACAAAGTGACACTGTAGTCTATAAGTGAAACTTGGAAATAAAGTGAAATAAAGGTGATAGAGGGACTAACCCGAGTTCAGCCTGTATAATGGGAGTATTGAGTGTCTCCATAACAGTGAAGCTGAGCATTGCAATGTAAAACAGAGCGTTACAAATCACAATTCCAGACCATTTGACCCTCAGAGCTGAAATTGTACGGTTATTAAAACTTATTGCTGGACGGAGAATAAGGAAAAACAGATACACGTATTTCCATTCGTCTCTCTGAAGCGTAATGACCTGATGATCTCTGAACTCTTTAAGGGTCTTTAACTGAAACTATGAAAGAAAGGGAAGTTGAAAAATAAATTAGAAGTGAAAGTGAAAGTGAAAGTGAAAGTGAAAGGGACTAACTGGCCATTTCGGAGCTCTGAACAATGGAGTTGACCATGAACTCTGCTGGGGTTGCGTCCTCTCTGAACCACACAGCCACAATCACCATGTTTACTGTTATCAATATTGCTGAAATAGAGTGAAATGTAAAATTAAATTCTAAAATATTTAATTATGTACTTTTGTTTTACTGAAATTTGTGTCTAGACTGAATAATGTGTTAGTATCATGAATACCGAGGTTAGCTACATCAGAATCATTGTTTTTATTATGTGAACAAAGGACACGGCCAAAGTCAGGTAGGCTATAATTAAACAACTGCATTCGTCAAATACACAGAATGTGCGTACATTCTTATGTGACAGGATATGATGTTATTCTAACCTTACAAATATCCCCCCTGAAATGACATGGAACTATTGTGGAACTTCCAACTTCCTCCTTGTCCTTGAAGTCTAAATATCTAAACAAAGCTTCAGACTCCCTGGACTAATCTAATCCACAATTAGATATCCAAAGTGATCTTATATTACATTTTACTGTAAAGCTGTAACTAGGAATGAAAGGATAATAATCCGATGTATACTAGCTACCAATACAGTTTCTAATTTTGTCCAAATCCACCGTGTCAAGTCTGGATTACAGTATTTTACTGTGAAGGGAAGTTACAAAGTATTATAGTTATAACTTATACCTGACAGATAGGCAGGGAGAGTGTACTGTGATACCTCCCAGCTCTCATAACAGAACCCTTTCTGTACCAGTGACGTCACCAAAGCAGTGACGTCACAGTATTATAGTTATAACTTATACCTGACAGATAGGCAGGGAGAGTGTACTGTGATACCTCCCAGCTCTCATAACAGAACCCTTTCTGTACCAGTGACGTCACCAAAGCAGTGACGTCACAGTATTATAGTTATAACTTATACCTGACAGATAGGCAGGGAGAGTGTACTGTGATACCTCCCAGCTCTCATAACAGAACCCTTTCTGTACCAGTGACGTCACCAAAGCTAAACCTGAACAAAATCTCGTGTTAGTGAAACACACTATCAGTCTGTGCACTTGATAAGCAGATAAGTGATTATTATTTGTGGAGAAATGTTATCTTGTAACGTGATTCAATTAGAAATCAAACAGGTGCTGTACATGGACACTGGATAGGTCCTAACTCCTATCCTTGTTAATACACACCAGCCTGAGCTTACCTGGACCTATGATGAAACCAGCAGCCTGAGCTAACCTGAACCTATAATGAAACCAGCAGCCTGAGCTAACCTGGACCTATAATGAAACCAGCAGCCTGATCTTACCTGGACCTATAATGAAACCAGCAGCCTGAGCTAACCTGAACCTATAATGAAACCAGCAGCCTGAGCTAACCTGGACCTATAATGAAACCAGCAGCCTGAGCTAACCTGGACCTATAATGAAACCAGCAGCCTGAGCTTACCTGGACCTATACTGAAACCAGCAGCATGAGCTTACCTGGACCTATGATGAAACCAGCAGCCTGAGCTTACATGGACTTATAATGACACCAGCAGCCTGAGCTTACCTGGAGCTATAATGAAACCAGCACCCTGAGCTTACCTGGACCTCTAATGAAACCAGCAGCCTGAGCTAACCTGGACCTATGATGAAACCAGCAGCCTGAGCTAACCTGGACCTATAATGAAACCAGCAGCCTGAGCTAACCTGGACCTATAATGAAACCAGCAGCCTGAGCTTACCTGGACCTATACTGAAACCAGCAGCATGAGCTTACCTGGACCTATGATGAAACCAGCAGCCTGAGCTTACATGGACTTATAATGACACCAGCAGCCTGAGCTTACCTGGAGCTATAATGAAACCAGCACCCTGAGCTTACCTGGACCTCTAATGAAACCAGCAGCCTGAGCTAACCTGGACCTATGATGAAACCAGCAGCCTGAGCTTACCTGGACCTATGATGAAACCAGCAGCCTGAGCTTACCTGGACCTATGATGAAACCAGCAGCCTGAGCTTACCTGGACCTATAATGAAACCAGCAGCCTGAGCTTACCTGGACCTATAATGAAACCAGCAGCCTGAGCCATGGAACCTTTGCTAACCACAGCAGTCCTCTCGTCTAATGAGGTAACTGTACCAAGATGCGATCTTGCTAGAGCGATACAACCTGAAATATATGGAGATGTTAACTGTTAAGTCATATCAGCTACATCAGTAACGTGCTAAACTCAGCATAACTCTGACGAGTAAAGTGGCGGATATGTAGTGATGTGACAGTGGAGGAATGGTGTACGTGATGTATAGTTTGTATACATACCACATGTGTTTAAAATACATATAATCTAGTTCATTATGTACGTGATGTATACATACCACATGTGTTTAAAATACATATAATCTAGTTCATTATGTACGTGACAATAAATGACATGTATTTTGTGATTCTGTAACAGTTTCAGATTTCCGGTTGTGTCATGAATCACGTGATAGTAAATCTATGATAGGAACACAGTGTGCTGATCACTGAGCTAGATAATAACAGATAATACCAGATATATAAGTTAAATACGTATCGGGAAATGTGACCTAATACTGCAAATTCATAGAGTCCGCTGCTTTAATGGTATTTACACTGAGAGTCAAAATGTTGCAAAATTGTATCAAGTTCTCTTCTTTTTTTCTAGGAAATCGAACTGTTATGAATTCTACAGTAAAGTTTTGGAGAGGTTAATCTACGTTATAATATATTGAGCTCCTATTTTACATGCTTGAGATCATAATTTACACGTGACGGCTATAAACCAATCAGTCGTTATCAATAACATTTAAGCTCTTCTCTGAGGAGTTTTCGCCTAAAACCAAGCAGAAAAGTTGATACTTTAACTTGATAGTGCTTTAACGCACACCAGAAAGCAAGAAGCCCTAGATCATATCTATGTTCTATATATTGTTAAGATTACATTTACAAATATTTTGAATTTTCAGTTTTGACTGTCAGTAAGGATGTAGAACTTTCTTAGCTGTTCGATAACAAGCGTAACAACCAATTTCTTATCAGTTACCTATCACCAAATAAGGTTACAAACTGTTCCATCTACAAAACTGATATTAAAACTAGCACCAGGAATGTACCGGCTTTATCGGATATAACAGAGAAGAAATGAGGGACTCAGGAATTCTTAATGATGATGTATTATTGAATAATTATCATGAAATATTTGTTATTCATAATGACTTAATAATGAGCTTAACGTATCTTGAGGGTCTTCTGTTTTACCAAGCTGGGTAATTCAAAACCATCATGTCTCTCATGAACAAATGAAGTTATAGGCATTAAATGAAACGTATCATTTGCATGTGATAACAAACTTAACGGCTATTTTAAAAGCAAGTTCAAAAATCACCTCTCCACCATTACCCTTCCTCACAACTAATAAACTAATTAACTGATTAACATACTAATTGATTAATTACTAACCAGCACCCCCGCCGCTGATGACACGCCCAATCACCACAACCCATAAAGCTCCAGTAGGAGATGAGTCCTTTACCAGACACGCTAGGGCGTAGAGAAGATTACCAACTACTCCAATGAACATGGTAAGTTGAACTGGCAGTGTTATTTTACCCCTGAGAAGAACGTAAGTTGAACTGGCAGTGTTATTTTACCCCTGAGAAGAAGGTAAGTTGAACTGGCAGTGTTATTTTACCCCTGAGAAGGTAAGTTGAACTGGCAGTGTTATTTTACCCCTGAGAAGAAGGTAAGTTGAACTGGCACTGGTGTTATTTTATCTCTGAGAAGAAGGTAAGTTGAACTGGTAGTGTTATTTTACCCCTGAGAAGAAGGTAAGTTGAACTGGTAGTGTTATTTTACCCCTGAGAAGAAGGTAAGTTGAACTGGTAGTGTTATTTTACCCCTGAGAAGAACGTAAGTTGAACTGGCAGTGTTATTTTACCCCTGAGAAGAACGTAAGTTGAACTGGCAGTGTTATTTTACCCCTGAGAAGAAGGTAAGTTGAACTGGTAGTGTTATTTTACCCCTGAGAAGAAGGTAAGTTGAACTGGCACTGGTGTTATTTTATCTCTGAGAAGAAGGTAAGTTGAACTGGCAGTGTTATTTTACCCCTGAGAAGAAGGTAAGTTGAACTGGTAGTGTTATTTTACCCCTGAGAAGAAGGTAAGTTGAACTGGTAGTGTTATTTACCCCTGAGAGACTGGGTAAGAGGTAAGTTGAACTGGTAGTGTTATTTTACCCCTGAGAAGAAGGTAAGTTGAACTGGTAGTGTTATTTTACCCCTGAGAAGAAGGTAAGTTGAACTGGCAGTGTTATTTTACCCCTGGGAAGAAGGTAAGTTGAACTGGTAGTGTTATTTTACCCCTGAAAAGATGGTAAGTTGAACTGGCAGTGTTATTTTACCCCTGAGAAGAAGGTAAGTTGAACTGGTAGTGTTATTTTACCCCTGAGAAGAAGGTAAGTTGAACTGGCAGTGTTATTTTACCCCTGGGAAGATGATATAATATTAGTATTTATAGTAGGGTACAATTACTGCGCTGTGTACGTGACTTCTTTAAGTGTATTGTAGGTTTGCAGCGATTACATTTAATTAGTTTATGGAATGTGTTTAACGTTTATCACATTTAGAAGTGTTACTGTTGGACAAGTGGTATGAAATTTTAGTGGGAAGGAATTTAATATAGGATGATAGATTACTCAGCAGAAACAGAGCCAATCAAATTACAGGGTGGGCCAAAAGTCGGTGGGCATGTGTTGGCCTTGATAGCTCCGCCGTGTTTTATATTTGAGAGCTGTTGCTTTGCAGATGGCATACTGTACCTTCTGGTTCGAGGATTCCGTCGTCAAAATTTGAAAATTCGAATATTTAAAACCACGCCCATTCAAAATTAAAACACCTATATTGTTCTCTCTGAACATGCTGGACGCCTGATTTTTTCAGAAACGGTAGATTAGTAAATGTTGCATCTGTTCTGAAAAAATGCATTTTGTGTATCTCGTTAACAAAATTGACTGGGTGATTATGTGACACCGTGACACGACACCTTAACTGGGCAGCCTTAACGATTCCCATAATGTTTAATGGGGTGGTTAACGGGGTGACCTTATCACGTGATTAGGTAAGCCAATCACCTGATCACACGTAATGAATTAACTCGTTATGCTTCGTATCTCGGCCATACGAGAAGCTACAACTGTAATTTGTTCAGGACAAACGTAATTCGAATGGCCAAACACAATTCAATAAAATTTAGCTCGTTCCGACTATCCAAACTATCAAATAAATGTAAAAATGAACCTTCATTTGAAAAAAAATGTACTCTAATATTTTTCGATTTGATAAATTCCCCGAACCAGTGGTGGTAGTAAGTCGTACCAGAAAGAATTATTTCAATTAGTCACTCAGTGACTGAGCTATTAAGGCCAACGTATGCCCACTGACTTTTGGCCCACCCTGTATTTGCTACACAGCACTAGTTTGAAAGTATCAGCTACTTTTTATGATGTCAACACTACTATATTTAGACAAGGATTAAGTCAGGTGTGGCTGCAGCCAGAGTTATTATTTATAACAAATAACTTGGGTTACAGCCTAACCTGCATACCTGATATCTGACTCACAAATCAGAGCAGTTCTAGGTCATCTACAGATTAGAAATTACCCATTATCAAGGGAAATTTGGATTAAGTTTTTTGAGAAGCAGTTTCCTACCTTACTGTGGACCATTTTCCTACGAGAGGAGAAGCAAGAAGTTGACCGAATGAATACCCAGCTGCTGCAAACCCCAGAAATGAATAGTTAACAGATGGGCTGATGTGTTGTAAATAGGGCCAAAGCGAGGGCAGCAGAATTGAAAACCCTGAAAATATAATTATTAACTGATTTTAGGACAGGTTGCCAAATAATCTAATAAACTTTCAAGTAACTTCGCAAAGTTTCGATCGCACTACCTTCCTATAAATTGCACAATAGTACTGAACTTTACCTCCTGTTTCTCTATGAACATTATCGATTTAACTCATTATTATTACCTGTGCTGTTTAGAAATAAAACGAGGTACATTATTCTGATACTCCTCCATCTTTTCTGCTCCGCTACCATGAAATAACTGCAGAGTTTACAGGATTATTTTACATAATTGTATGCAAATACATTCAGAGAAGATTTTGTGAATTGTAAGAATTAGAAAAAATTAGTAGACTAACCTGCTTTCTTCGCCATTCATTGTCATTCTGATAGTTTTAAAACAAGTCTATCTTAGATGTAAATGCCAAACCACAGCTTTCACTTATCCTCCTTTCGTATGCATCTTGTTTGATTTGATGCTAGTTTGAGAAATATATTTAAAGCTTCACGCTGGAGAGGTGTCGGCCGTAATGTGATGCATATTCAAAACCACAATCTTAGTTGTATACAGCCAGAAATATTTGACATGTTGTATTTATAAAGTATTACAAGGTGATGAAGTTTTATCTCAGAGTGGCAACTTGACAGAGAAATTCCCTACAATCTGATACACATTTGATGGACCACTCTGAATTATCAGTATTTAGCAGTGCTTACCCTCGCAGCTACCCTCGTTTTAAAGTACCTGATTCCATCAGGTACAGGTATTGTTCAGTTACATCTCAAAGAAAAGAAAGGATCTTAAATTTGAGAAAATATATTTAATTTTCTAATGACCCAAATCATTGACCCCCAACAGCTCAGAGTTCCCTCAAACAATGTGTGGAATAGCACTGTGCAGTGGAAAAGCGAGATTTTAACCATCAGAGGACACAAAGTAAAAACACACCTCTGGTAACATTTCACCAAATTAATAGATACAGAAAGTCAGAAATGAGAAAGAAAAGTCGTATAAATATCAAAACAATCAATAAATTATTAAATCTAAGCATTAATCCTATCATTTATACTTTAAAAGCGATCTTCCTTATATTATCTCCATGCAATTTAATACAAGTTGAAGTGACTAAATCTGGTTAACAATGATAAGTTAGTTTACACAGAACAGTCTCTTCAGCGACATGTGTGACTTATTCGTAATAGTGTCCATCCTCTGATGGGTTGCAATTTGTGGGGAACGAAGATCTTGTATCACTATTATTTTTGGAAATGCAAATGAGCAAAAACTCATATTCCTTCTGATTTATCTTTTATTAGTTCCAAATCAAGTTTGTAATCAGGATCTTTGTTGAAACCGGTATCGAACTGATTTGTCATGACTTGAAAACTGTTTCTCAGATTATCTTCCAACACTGTCGTCTCCTTTAACATTCCAGGAATACCTTTAGATACGTTTTCTAATTCAGTTCTAACGGACTGCAGATCCTGAACAAGCTTGAACAATTCCTCTCCTCCATCAACTTCATCAACATGAGAAACCAGGTCGCAGTGTCTGGTGTCCAAGGTTGTCAAGGTATTTTCAAGATCTGTAAAAGTACTTTCAACCTCCATCTGTACCGATTTAGTAAGTGACACAAGACAAAAGAAATAAACAACAAAGCTTCGGTTGATTGGAAGTGGTATATATGATGTAAGATACCGTATAATTGGACAAAGAGTCACGAGTTCGCTTGGGTAAAACAATTGGTAATAAAGTGCAGTAGCGCTCGATTTTCATACTGCGATATAACAACTCTACGCCGCGCGCGGTATTTAGACGGGTTGACAGTTGATCAATTTTGTATAATCATTAAAATTTTTGTACAGAATATTTTATCATAGTACAAATGAACTATTGTAAAACAATAGTATTATGTAACAGTTTTTATTAATCTAAACTAATTAATTTTTAATCAACTTTCTTTGTTCAATTTAAACTTTTTAAATTAATAATGAAACTCAATTTCAAAGTTGTAGCATAAATTTATTGTGTTTTTCTTCAAATTAAATAAAACAGTTCAATAAAAATATTTTAATATTAATTTTATACTATTATGTATTAAATTTTTTAAAGTTAATTTTTAATTTAGGACAGAACTAAACATTTCAGAGATATTGGCGGCGCGCACTTATTAATAGCCGGGAATGGGTAGAAATTATAACGCGTGATTTACTTTCGGCACTGGATAATGGATTTACTCACATGACACGTCACACACATCACACCACCAGCTGTTGTAGCACATGCTAACATGTGACTTGTTGCTTTGTGTCGTCTCCCAGCATGCAGATGGACGCCCCATCAACCAGCCAAGATCTCAAACAAGGTTCTTTGACGACTCTTACTTCCACCAAACGGAACCTTCAATCAAATGTTAACAGGCAAATTCAGGATTTCAACATCTCAACTCACATAGAGGATCAACAGAGGGTCCAGACTCAATATCAGCCCATTCAAACAAACAACCAGAGCGTGGTTGTCGTCTCTGGCGATCAGATATTACACCAGAATAACTCTCCTATCTCGCAATTCTCCGGTATAATACCCTTCGATGGGAGTGGTGCTAGGGTCGTGAACATTGTCTCCAATGACTCTATGCCCATGCTGCTCGGCAATATTAACCAGCCAAACCGCGCTTTAGCTCAAACTATTGCAGCACCAATGCAAGGTAAATTGTTTTGCTATTACGACACGTCCAGTACATGCACGTAAGCTAATTGTTTTTGAGTTGCTAGCTACCTTCTTAAATTCACTGTCAACACAGACAAGGTCTCAAAATCTCGCTAGATATCACCTTAAAAGTTATGCTGCAAACTCTTTACTTTTTATGACTGGATACTTTCACCATCGCATGCAACAACCTGGTTGAACATTGATTTCACTCTTTACTCTACTCTGCATGCTGGAAGAACCAAAATACCAGGCTCTGGTTTCTAGGTCAAATGACAGTCACGTGGGCCATTACATGTGGCATGAAATGGCACGTGTTCAATTATTGGGCATGTGGCGCTGACACGTGCGGCTAATTGACTAAATTAGTGCGATCACGTGACCAGGTTGACGGAGTCACGTGACGCACACGTTGCAGGAACCTTGCATTGGTTGCACCCTCATAGGGACCCCCTGTCTGTTTTCATTGTTTTATTGTTGTTTGGGGCTTTAATATTAAGTGCTTAACCGAATAATTGTTTCCAGTTATTACGAGGTTCAGTTTTGAAGTTGTCATTTTGGGTTTTTTCTAGTTCGCACATCGGCCGCCATTGTGGCCACATTGTGTTCCCGTGTCTTCTTAACATCTCGGGCTTATTTTGTTTTGTTTTGCATTTTATACTTACTCTTTGTACTGAAGTAGCCCATATCAGTTAACCATGAAGTTATCACACTAGCTTATTAACCATGAATCTGATGTATACGAACCAAAACCAGCAGCAACAGCAGCAATCCCAGAAACCACACATACAAGAAAAATTTAACGGTACGTTTATGTAAAACTTGCAATCAGTGTACTGAATACATTCTTCTTTTTCTCTTGTAAAATTGTGTCGCGCTCTTTAGATTGTTTAAAAATCAATATGAATTTTTTCATCCTCTTTTTGCAGATTCAATTTATTTTTGTTTGAAAGTAGGTTGAAAGTAGTAGTATGGTGATATGTTAGGATATTGCCAGCCGAACTCTGCTCCTTTATCAAGACATGTCTTTTCATTTCAGTTGTGGGAAACACGGTGAACGCTCAGCAGGTCAGATCGACTCTGTCTCCCTCGCTCGTAGCGGGCGTGACACCAATGCAAGGTTCTTACTTTGCTGACTTTTCTGTTTATCTACTGTCACACTTTTAATTCTAGATGTCTCTTTCGTTGTGTGATGTGCATGTTTCACTTGTGTTCAATGTTTTGTTTTCTTAGCTTCTCTTCCCAACCACATACATTACATCAACGATTATTTCTCTGTCCATGAAATGCACTTTTTCGACTTAACATCCGTTTTAATAAATTAGTAAGTCCACCAATATTCATCTGTAACCCCTTCTTTATTTTCAGCGGGACAAATCCTAAACCTAGGAACAGCAAATCACGGTGTTGGAGGCCAGATTCTAAACTTACCGAACGGCCCGACGGGAGGAGGTCAGTTCTACGTCATGATACCTCAGTCACCAGTTGATGTGAATCATCAGAAGATAGCTCCACGTGCACATGGTGCCGCGTAAGTAACTTCATTATAGTTAAATGATTAACAATTGGCACAGTGGTACTGCTTGGCTCACCATTGATGATAGTTCATTACACATGGGTCGTTTTAAACATCCCAATGAGGTAGATAGTACAGAATTTGTGGCTAGCCATTTCAATTACCGTTCAGTTGGGCGGTTTCGCAGTGATTTACGATGATATCCCCACTATAATTCATCCTGTAAATTACCCGGCAATCGTTATGCTGTATTCTACTCACGTGACTCAAACTAACCAATCAGAGAGCTGTATTTTAGTCAAGTGACTCAAACTAACTTATCAGAAATCCGTATAATCCAGTGGCGGGTACTTAACTATAATCTTTAGCAGTAGCAGCAGCGGTTCCACTTTAACAATACCATAATGGAGTATAGAGCGACTTGGTCGTTAGCTTTAATCTCTTTTGAATACTGCTCTACTTAAATCAATTGTATGCCAGCATTTAATTACATTCATATTGAGAGCTAGTTTACTCTGCAAACTAGCTTACTCTTAGTGAAGTCTTAAGATTGGAATTTAAAAAAAGACTATTATAACCAAGATGGTAACAATTAAATATAAAACAGAAATCATTCCTGGTTATCTTCTGATAATCATGAAAAACATTCGTCCATCAATTTAAGCTCCTCGTCATCAAATGGATCTAAGATAAAGTTACCCCACTGTGTCGTGGACCCCTTTATTGAATTTACTCATTGTCTCTGTTTATAAGGCCAAGGTTAGGTCTGCTCAACTTGGTAATATTTAGTTCAAGTACTAATAAGTAAGCACTTAATTAGTACTAATAACATCAAAGAAATACTTATCTCAGAAGTACTCGTATAACAGTAATCACTTAAAGTCTGTTGATACCAACTCCCCAAGACTTTCTCCCTCACTTACCCCATATCCCTCCTTATTTCAGGACATAACCTACCTCACAACGTCTCATTTACTCGCCATTATGCTACTGAGAATCAGAGTACTGTACTCAAACAATGTGTTCTGAATACCTATAAATAATAATGGACTTTACTAGACAACCATCCCAATCATTTCAGTTTTGAGGCTTTCTGACTTTAATTATAATTAGTTTAAACTAATATTAGTCACTCCAATATTACTATTAGCTAATATAAGTCGTATCTAATATTAACCATGACTATTATTATTCATAACTAATATTAACTATGACTATTATAAGTCATAACTAATGTAAAACATATCTAATATTAGTCATATATCTATTATAACACCTACATCTTACACTATTGATCTGTTGTATAACCGTCTCATTAAGTCGATAATGTTGATTTAATGAGCTACACGCACAGGGAGGCGGAGGGGGACTTGAATCTCCTGATTTCATGATAATAAAACTAATCGAGAATAATGATTCTAGATCTTAACTGAAATCAATTTTTCGTGAAGACTGTAGAAGATTTAATATTGGTAACACACACACACACACACACACCACTAGTTCTAATGGGCCAACCAAAATGTGTTAATCTAACAATAACAACTAACGACCCCTCTGTTAATTACACCCCTTTACACACCCCTCTTATTGTACCGCTACCCGCTAAATGTGGGGTTATTCTACTAACCTCCTAATTTACTAAGTGAGAAAATCCTATGTTGATTTGGCTTTAACGCAGGCCCTGTGTGTGCTGTATATATATCCAGATCAGGCAATTGTTGTGGAATGTAAGGATTAATGTCAGGGTTTTATTACGAAAACATTTACTCTGTTACTTTCTGTTATATTCTTATTTTCTCCAAGAGATCTGGTAATTATGGGACCTTTTGTGCCTTTTTGTATACTTTTATAACACTTCCATTACATATCTTTAGAGTTTGACTCAACTTTCTATAGTAACATAGACAAGTAGCTTGCGAACCCTGATGCGGGACAGGGATATATGGAGGGGGTTATCTGGCGTAGATCGGACTTAGCTCCGACATAGTAGTATGTAGTAGTAGTAGTCCATTACATATTCTCCACTAACCATTTACTTTCATGCCCTTTACTTTCGAAATAACGATTCCAAAATATCTCTTTAGCATTCGAATTATAGATTTTCAAACAATATCCATTACTTATAAAATATTCATCTCTAAACGATCTTCATAAGTCATGGAATGTAAATATGCCAACAATCTCCATAACTTTTGAAATGAAGACTTCCAAACAATCTCTAGTACTTTTGAAATGTACATGTTAAAAATATCTCCATTACTTTTGAAGTGTACATTGCAAACAATTTCTATAACTTTTGGAATGTTCTTACATTCCACAATACTATGTTCTACTTTTGTATATATCCAAACAATGTACACTACTTTTGAAGTATACATTTGCACACACAACTCACACACTTACGTTTCAGGCTAGTACCGGTAATGCCCTTGTTTCACATTCCACAAATTCCTACCCCACCACGCCATACCACCCCACCTCGCCACACCCCGCCCAACAAACTGACGGAGAAGTTTACACGTTTAGCCAGAAAACACTTAAAATTGGCGGGAAATTCACAGGAGAACACTCCTCCTGCGAGAAAGAGAAATATTTCACTCGACTCTCACAACGACATATCACCTGATTCATTATCACGGTAATTCTACAAATATCCTGATTCTAAATAGTTTTAGGAGTGATCGTGACTGTGATCAAGAGATTGCTTCTATTTCTTTTTGTCATCTCAAATAGGCGGTCAGTATATATTCCGTGATAAAATGTGGTGTGTTTGCAAAGCTAGGGTGTTCAATACAGCCTCTCTTATCATCTCTATTTTCAATGGAAGTGCAGGGTGAGTAATTAACATGATATTGTAGGAGTATTAAGAATATTTGTAGTAATAATATTCCCGGCACATATCACGAGCTGGCTTGATCAGCCAATGTAGATATCCTCGTGACAAGACAGCCTCAGTGGAGCGGCACAACACGTGTGTGTAACACGGTTACACGTGACTCGCTCTCATGTGACTGTCACGTGGTTTGGCCGGCCAATCAACGCGCTGGAATCACGTGTATGGAGGCGGTCACGTGGGCGCACGCACGTGGGTTGCTACACAACGGCTCTGTCTCATTAGTCGCGTGCACGTGACGTGTCTGGTTAGCGTCACGTGACAAAGATAGCAGAGCACCGATTGGTTGGCACCGGACCATCTTGTATTCTATTGGCCGGCTCACCCTCACTGATGGCAGAGCACAAGGAAAGTAATTATACCTATCGTATTATGTGTGCGGCTCATGTGCCCCCCACCTGCCAGGCTAGGTAACCAATCACAGCACAGCTCAGCTGCTGTCCTCCAATCACAGCGCGTCTCCAACGCAGCTGAATGCCTGACATTAGTGTGCTGGCCTCCTGACAAAAGCTAACCAATCAGAGCTCAGTATTCAGGCACGTGACCTAGCAGCAACCAATCAGATGTCAGCTCTGTGACTCCCACATGTAGCGCTTAGTAATTAATAAGATGGGAGATCTACTAGTGAGATGTTGGCTAGAAGTAACTGGGTTTAACGTACCAGTAAGTGCGCTGCAGTTCTAGTATATCCCCTGTACAACCCCTATTCAACGTAACGAAACAGTCAACTTCACGTCTTTTTCCTGATTGTCGTTAAGCTTTGGAGAAAAAGGAAAATATTTTGAGTAATGTGATGATGTGCTTGCAGTGAAAAGTTAATGCGCACGCAAATAATTATCTTAATTCCATCATGAATATTCCGCTGTCCGACATCATTCGTCCAAAACATAATCATTTAAAACAATCACTCGTGCTTACGAATGAAATTTAGGGAGGTGGAAGAGTAGCGGTAATGCAGTGAGTGCTCTGTGCTAGGCTTGTCTTATCCATTCTTACTCATTTTACTGCCCTTTTTAAGGTTCATTCGTTAAAACACGTGACAGTTTCACCAACAAGTCCCTATATAAATTGCTATGTTTTGTATTGGGGAATGTATGGTCATGTCGCAGTGCAGATAACATAACTTTCTCTGAAACGAATCACTCGCACACTGCACACTCATGATATACACTCATGATATACACTCATGAGTACTCAGTACACGCTTTATGCTTACCCACAACTTAACAGTCGACCCTGTTACACTACAGCTGTGCTTGCTAAGCGACCTAATCTTAAAAACAGCTGTTTGATTGTCTACTGGTATTGTTAGGGGGGGGGGGGCCGGGGGGGGCCGGGGGGGGGGGGCTTGTTAAGTATTAGGGTGTTATTTTGGCACCTTTAAGTGACGTCTTTATCGTGTAAGAGAATTATATGAGATAAATGAAAACAACTTAGGACCAGTATGTAGAGCAATGTTCTATGATCTTGCTCTTCAATACAAAATTACCCGCAGAATTATAGAGTGGGATGATGCAACAATTTGGACTGGTTGAATCTGGGGAAGCTAGTTCCCATTATATTATAAATGTTGTTTTACATATATAATATGTTTAAAAACAGGTTCCATTGCGCTCTACCATGTAGACACTCCATGCAAATTGTCTTGCCGTGAAAACATAAGTCAAAGGAAAATCTCTGATTTTAAAGTTCATATTGCACATCCGGACTTGAGAGTATTTTGTGTGCAGTGTGCGATTATGTAGGACAAGTATGTGATGTAGGACAAGTATATGATGTAGGACAAGTATGTGATGTAGGACAAATATATGTGATTATGTAGGACAAGTATATGTGATTATGTAGGACAAGTATATGTGATTATGTAGGACAAGTATATGTGATCATGTAGGACAAGTATATCTGATTATGTAGAACAAGTATATGTGATCGTGTAGGACAAGTATATGTGATCATGTAGGACAAGTATATCTGATTATGTAGGACAAGTATATGTGATTATGTAGGACAAGTATGTAAAACCTTAGTTCGTTCTGATCTGTAATTAAATATTTTCGTATTACAGGGACACGCCCCTCGCTGCTCAGAGAACAGAAAGGGAGGAGAAACGGAGACAAACCCACAACGAAGGTGAGAATTAACTACATCAAATGTTATTGGGAATGTGATGTAATGTTATACCTAATAATATATACGCAATTATTACCTATTTAATTCGCATTTTTGACACCACTTGGGGTACCAAATTTTGGGCTCTAAAACTCCTATTTCTTGGCCAATTTTTTATTTTTTCATGCTGATTTGGAGGCCATTGAAGCATTTGACCCAGTCAAAAAAGTTTCAGTTGTATATCTTTTACGGTTTTTGCAGAAATTCGCGTTAAAGTTGATGCCGTGGTGTCAGTAAAATGGCACAGATAAATATATATATATATCGTCTCGCTTTATATATAGTAAGATGTTATGTGGTACATACCTGGTATTCAATAATCAATACAAACAACAAATAGAACACAAGGAAATATTCTGACTCAAAATCCTTACATTTAATTCTCACATTCCCATTATCACAGTGGAAAGAAGACGACGAGATAAGATCAACAGCTGGATCCACAAATTAGCTAAGATGGTACCTAACTGTAAGGACGAGCTGGGTACCAAGCACGGTGGACAAATGAGGGAGCAGGTCACATTGAAGGTACTTTCTCTTTCGGTAATTCACTTTCTCTTTCGGTAATTCACTTTATCTTTCGGTAATTCAGACTTTTAACAAACGTTTATTAGTATTGTTGATAAGATATTTGAAATATCATCTTAAATTTAGGGAAATGTTGCGCGTTACAACAAACAAATCTCATTTGAAAGTAATCGTAGCTCCCGGTCAGTGTGGAAAGTTTTAAAATATTACATCGGTCACCCAAAGTATATTACAGGTGGAAAAATATAACATACAATTTGTTTTCATAAAATTTGTTTTCAGAGTAAAGGTGGAATTCTGCAGAAAACGGTGAACTTCATCCAAGAGCTGCAGATAGCCCACTCGCAGGTAACTACTATCTATGATATTAGGTGCTTTTTCGAGCAACCACTCTCTGGGTTACTCTGATTTTATTTTAAGTGTTATTTAACTATTTATAACTTGAAATCTCTGCTTGTTTTTTTTTCTGGTTGTTTATTATGAAGTTTCATCTCGCAATTTCATTATTCCTTTTGAGAGGTTGACTAGGTAAGTGAATAAAACATGACATGAAATTCTCTTGTTCTCCTTTTCTGGTAGACTAGTAATACTGAATGATATGCTTTATGTTAATATTGTGGTTTGTCGTTGTACATAGTTTATTGTATGCAATGCAAGCAGTATTTTCTTAGAACACAAGTTTTAAGCGCAAACTCTTCGGAACCTTATTTGGAGTTCTAACCTTTTCTTGGAAATTATCTGTAAGTTCTGAGAAATATCATTAAAACTCCTCATGTGACAGTTCAGGGAAAGCAAGGGAATCAAGAAACTGCGATTATCTGAAATGTTTTCCTTTTCTTTATTTTGATGTAAATGCTCACTTTCTCAGGTCGTAGAAAGATTACAGGAACAAAATCAGGTACTTGGAGAAATGGCCAAGGTCAGAGAGAATTTGAAACGCGTTGAGCAGGAAAACTTGCTTCTAAGGAGTCAGCTACAGAGTCACGGCTTCGAACCAATCGACTATGTAAGTTTTCAGTTTTACGATTCTCTTTCATTTTATAACAAAGTTCTATATTCACATATACCGACGACTGAGCAACCTTTTTAGGTTACCCTTTGTTATCAAGTTTGTGTACCCTTTCCTGTCACTGCTGTGATCTCTGGAGTATTAACTTGACAAAACTCACGTGTTTGAGACTAGAACACATGGACACACCTGTCACGTGCGTACTTTCTGTGAGGCAGCGCAGCCGCGGTTATTATATAGATGTACTGACTACATTTTGTCAGTATTCTTGAATGCGCGCGGCGGTACAGCACAATTTTGCATAACTGCAGAAATGTTTACAATTCCTCTTGATTCTTCACTAAGAGCTCCAACGGCTGATCTAAGGGGTTGGAGTTTGGACTATATACTACACTGCCTAACTACCGTAATTCTTTGGGTGTTAGTGATTAGGTGCTGGGTACAGCGGCGTTATGCGGTTTCATTCTGAAGCAGAGCGTACTAGTGACTGGAAGGGAAACATTTTGCTCTGAAAACCTGCGAACTGCGAAGACTTTACATATCTTCCTTTCTCTATAATGTTCTTTGGCATGTTGGTCACTACATACAATTAGAGGCACTAAACAAAGTGTAATACGCCTGTTTAGTATAGTCTCGGAATTGCAGCACTTCCTTGCCCTACCCTTTCCCTTCATCATACTGACAGCACAGTCACACTGATAAGATAGTGATAGCACAGTTTTAAAGCAGGTGCTATCAACGTAATTGTCGTAGTCAAGGGGAGTATAAATAGAAAGCCAGACGGGACAACTCTTAAATGTACTCGAAGTATACGATGTATTCGATGTTAGCGTTTATCATTTTGGCGAGTGTTTTTTAGACTAGGTCCAAGTTGGACCTAGTCTAAAAAAACGCGTAAGGAAGGGCCCCGCTGTGCAGGGCGCCGTCTTAGGGGGGCGTCAAATCGTCGTTTGAATGTGGGACAATTTCGAAAACTTAACTTAAGTACTAGCAAAACTGCGCGTTTTGCTCTAGATACACACTTTTTTAGAGATTTTACCGGCGTTTCCTCTAAAATCACCTAATTTGTTCAATTTTAGGGAGGGGCACCTAGGGGGGGGGGGGGGGGGGCAGCAGGCAACGTTACGCCACTGGGTCCAACACTAGTCAAAGTACGGGAAATCTTTTTTTTCTTTGAAAGCTTGAGCCTTTAAGGTGCTGGTGTATTGCGAGTGGTACATCATTTTCATGAAGGCTAGAGTTACATGACGGGGGAATATATGATAATTTTGTTGGTAGATGACAGATTGAAGGTTAACGGAGGAATTTTGATAATATATTGTAGCGCGATGCACTACTGGGCCGCGCCGCGCATCTTCTCGCAACCACAGATGCAGGCCGTATGCAGATTGGCGAGATGCGAAGGATTGACATCGTGAATCAAGATAATATATTGATGAGTTGTCAATGAGCTCTAACAAACATCAAAGATCTCCTGGTTACTTATCGATTTCATTTACAATTAATTATTTGACTGCTGTGCTACTTTCCAAGTTTTCATAGCATTGCAAGAATCGTAATAAAGAATGGAGAACTGTATAACAAATAAGGATCTATAGTTGCGTCTTCATGATTTTCGCAGTATTAGGCGGATTCTAGAAACGATTGGAATAATATCCATAATAGGTTTTTGAGGCTACAATATCTTATTTCGAATTTGAAATTGTTGAGGTACGCATTATTCGCACACCTTGTGGTATGGAGGGTATGCGCTGCTAGTCATAAAATACCAACAATTGTTATTCCAATCTTCTAAAACTTATTTTGAAACTGTTAAGTCACAGTCCAGTCTCTATTCTCCTAGACGTGAGAAAAACACGGAATGTAACAGCGAGTAGCAACTAACCCTCAATATATTACAGGCGAGCCAATCAATGCAACAGAGCAGACAAGACCCGGACACACTGAAATCCTGCTCGGAAATGAACCAGCCTCCAATGGTCACCCTCTCTCAGACCTCAACGCAACAATCAGTCCTCTATGGTCAGAGTTCAACAATGGACGACAAGGATGACGAACAATAAGCCTTCCGATAATTTATTCAAAACTTTCTTATTTTCTACGGTTCAGAGGTTGCGACGTGCAGATCACGCCAGTTAAGATCGCACCATTGGTCGCACGTGCGATGCGACTGTATTCGATGTCAAAGAAACAAAAGTTACACGAAGTAATAAGATTTTAAGAAGTAATGACTGTTAAAAAGGATGAGTGTAGACCAGTTCTACTAAAAGGAATAGTCTGCAATAGTGATTTTTGCTATTATCTAATATGTGAACAGATTTATTCGGCAGTTTTATGCTGGTAAAGCAGTCACGCGAAACCTGGAAAAAAGTTGTGGTATGTGTCATGTTTTTATGTTTTTGCTGAGGTTGGAAATGTTATTTCGATTTCATCATGTAATTGGAGTTGCCTGTCTAAAAACGTCCCTTTTTAATTTGGCAAATGTGGGAAATACAAATCGCTCTGAAAATGCTAGGCTCTTCTCAAAATTTCTCTGTTACAATATGTTACTACCAGACTCTATCCTCCTTGGATCTGTCAGCTAGAATCCTGAACAGTTGTGAGTTGACCGTTTCTCGTTCTCATCTTTCTTTGTCGCAACCTCGCATCAGCTTCTATTCCTTTCTTCCTGTCATTCATGTGCCAATCTGTTCTTGAAGCTCAGAACAGTAAAATTTGGGTCTTGGAAAATGTCCCACCAGTAGCAAGTAAGACATTTTCATGTCATCAAATGTTTCTCCGGATATTCAGCTTCGGTGCACGGTGGCTCTAATAGTCTGATACTAATTCGCTCGTCCAAAAATTATCACGTTACTTGGGTTTTTACGATTTTGTTACTGGGTGGCGCTGATCAGCAGTCAGCCTGCCATTCCGCCGAATCTCATTCTCTATTAAAGTGGGGAGGGCAAGCGGGGCCAGGCTATAATTTGTAATTGGTAATGTTCACAAGGGGTAGTTCACATATTACTTAATTGCAGCTGAGGGGGGTTCCAGGTTCCAAATCACAAATGATTACGCGGCGCCAGTGTAATAGAATTTTGACGCAACAGCTATGTGTAAATTGTAAAACTGATTACGGGGGGTGGGGGGTTACCTGGGGACCTCAGGCTATCATGTTCATTAAGGCGGAATGACTGGCTGAGCGGCGAGAGTGGCCCAGTAAGGGAGGGGGAGGGGTAAAATGTTCCAAAACTCTTAACGTTATATGTGAACAACCCATGTCCCCTTACTAAACAATAAAGATTCTGCAATCGGTGGAATGACTTGGAGGACTTCGACGCGCCGCGCAAACTAGCATGATTCTTGCTTCGCTGTTCGCATCGTCAATCAACGGAACGACAGGCTGAGCACCGCCCAATAAGTTTAAAATAAAAATGTTTGCCTCCTGATCGAATCGCGCTTGACCATTGTTATAATGGTCTTACCTGGAGACCTTAGGCTATTATGTTCATAAAGATTCGTTGACGGATGTTACTCGTCTAAATTTCCCAGGAAACCTTACTAGCTGGAGCCTAACTTTGAAAGTAAAAGAGATAGAAACGTCTGGTTTTCAATAAAATGTTCGCCTTGTAAAAATAACGTTTCCCCAGGAGGGAAAATTAAAAACAACGTAGATTTTGAATTATCGCGAAAAGTCATATTTTAGGTCATATAAAACTGCACAGCTTTAACTTTGCAGATTGTTGTTCTCTAGCTCTGATTGGCTGAATCGTATCACGTGGTACGCGGTACAATTGCATCTTTGGAATGTTTGAAGCGTGCAAATGCAATGAACTCACGAGCGCGCGCGGAGCTCAACAAGCTGTGAAAAGGCGATCACCCTGTAGTAATATCGCTAGCCAGTAAGGTCTGCTGGGTATGAGATAGCCGAGACGCTGCAAAGGGGGGGGGGGGGGGGGGGGGGGGGGGCGGGGGGTTGATGGCGAGTTATGCTTTGTCAAAGTGGATGCTTTTAAATACTTTCAACACTACTATATATACTTTCAACACTACTATATAACAAATAATTTTAGGCATGTACAATGGCATGACGGGCTAGGAAGTACAGCCGATCTCCTGGTATGCGGGTGCGCTGGGGTTCCTGAAGTTCGCCTCCTGAGTTAGGCTCCTCTCGCCCAGTGCTTGCACTGGGCAACAACACCTTAAACACGATGTAAGTTTCTCTTTTACTTCTTTCTCATTGTTAGCTTATTTTGAATGTGAATTTTTACATCTCTGATATTGCCCCTCTTATCCTTACTCTAGCTATATTTTCACTGGCAAATTTAACTTTACTCCCGACCAGCAGTTTCATTACACATTTTCTCGTGCCATTTTCCTTCCAGGTCGTGTTTAGTGTTGTGGGAGGTTGCCTACTCTGAGGTGTTACGGATGGTTCCCTGGCAAACTTTGCTGCCAGACTCGACAATCTCTGACAACAATGATAAACCTTCAAGAGATTTTCGACTATGTCAAAGCTGCCTCAGTTGAGGATCTACGTCATATCCTTAACTCTGTTCAAAACGAGCTGCCAAAGCGTGAGGGAAAGGTGGACAATTTTGTGTTACATATAGAGGACTTCTGCGAGGATGAGGTTCTCCGTGATGCGGTATGGGTTGAATGTGAGTCCCTGCAGAAACTGAACACCGAGGGAAGACACAAGGCAACAACAGCTTGGTTGTGCTCACAGGATGCACCCTATATTTACACTGACACAAATCCAGTGCACCCACCACAGGATATCAGTGGTTTCCCTAATATCAAAAGACTCCTGAGTCTTGTAAACTCGAGTACGGAGATAACTGGACCTCTGGACTCATGTCTGGTCATCAAGTATGGAAACAACCAAGCGAGTACTTCAATACACAATGACGGTGAGAAACTAATGGACCAGGAGAAATCGATTTGCTCTTTCTCACTGGGATGTGAACGGACGCTTGAGTTTTACGAGGGCACAACTGGGAAACCTAATTGTGTCAAGACGATAAGGATGAAGAACAACAGTCTTGTTGTAATGCGGCCTGGGACACAGCAGAATCTGAGGCATGCTGTGCGAGCAGAGCCGGCCACAAAGGGAGAGCCTCCAAAGAAATCGTAGCAAGTAAGATACTCCCTGTCATTTCGAGCTATTGTGAAATCTGGTGGCCAAGTTAGCTCTCAGAATATCAGCACAGAGACTAGTACACCAGCTTCTGGCACCGAAGCCCAAGTACCTGCGCAAAGAGTCACGTTGGTTGCTGGAGACTCTTATGCTCAAAGATTGGACTCCGCAAAGCTGGGAAAAGGGAAAGTCACAGTCGTAAATGTTGCAGAAGGCGGAGCAAAAATGGACAAAGTCCAGAAACAGTTGGAGGACTACTGCACGGCACATCCTGATGTCCACGTTGAGAAGCTTCTGATCAGCGTAGGCACAAACGATATTAGGCGTGTGGGGGATAAAATTGGTATTTTGAGGGGACCAGTAAAGCAACTTTTTGGTAAGATAGGCCTATTATTTCCCAACTGTAAGGTATATGTTCAATCTCTATTGCCATTACCTTTACAGAATGATAACGATAAATTAACTAACAAGAGGGTAATGGATTTTAATAGGATTTTATACAATGAGTGTGTATTTAGGAGGTTCTTTTTCATGGATGTGTTTTATCCCTTTACAAAGTTTAAGAGAGCTCTAAGTGAGCCTGTTAAGAGATTTGATCCCTTATTTGAGAACAAAGGCATTCACCCCAATCCTCAGAAAGGTATGGGTGTGTTGGCCAGATTTTATATTCGTGCCATCCACAGTAGATATTTTAATCCTTATATCTATCAGTAGTCCTTTTGTGCTGTCTTCTGAACCTTGTTAAGCTAATGATATGCAGTTGTAGTCTGGCAAGTATACTCACCTGTAAAACACCATGATCGATTTAGTAACATACAGATTTAGAGTTGGAGTGTTTAGTGGAAATTCTTTTGCAAAATCCATCAAACATCAGAACCGTAGACGTGGTACAGGTAGTATTTTTGATTATTTAGACAGCTGCATTGATTCTCGCTTATTATTTTATATTTTTTATGTTATATTCATATGTCACTTTTCGCTAATCACTATCACATATGTCGGGGTAAGTGGGTTGGCTTTTTCTAGGGTCACTTATGATTGCCGAGCCTTTGTACCAACATACCCAGTTCCTAACTTGTGCCGATGCTTTACAGTTTATTTCTTTTTATATTTAGCAAATATGTATTATCTGAGGAATAATTACAGTTTCGATGGTTTATATAGATTTTGCCAGATTTCAATCCATAAGAACTTAAATTGCATATTTACTGGTAGAACCGGCAATACACTCACGGGATGCATAATTTGGTTGTTTTTGATGAATGGTTTTTTGATAGTTTTAGTAAACCCTGGAATTGTAAACCCAGGGCCGTCTCCCATAGGTGTTAGAGTTGGGAATGGTAATAAATTGAATGTTTACTTTCAGAATGTTCAAGGTCTCATCCCTTTTGGTGAACTGAACAATGCCCATCCAATGATTGATACCACTAAATGTCTTGAAGTGTCGACTTATCTTAATGAGGCTAAGATAGATATTGCAATACTTAACGAAACCTGGTTTAAGAGTTCTATTGCTGATAGTGAATTTCTGCACCCTGACAGATATAAGATATTTCGCTCTGATAGATCGAAGAAAACTCATCCACCAGATCCTTCTAATCCAACCCGGTTTAGGAGGAATGGTGGAGGGGTCATGATTGCAGTGAGAGCAGACCTTGATCTAACTTCAAAGGAAGTTCATCTCAAGTATGGTGCAGAAATTCTTGCTGTGGAATTTAAGACATCCACTGGAATTAAGTTTGTTGTATGCACATGTTATCGTGTTGGTACACTGGGCTCCGCAAATCATGAAAAAATTGTTGAGTCTTTGAAAACTCTTCTCAGAAGAAGAGGACTGAGTAAAGTCTTCATACTAGGAGATTTTAACCTGACCGGAGTTTCCTGGTCTACCCTGGCCAGCTCCTGTCCTATTGAGCAATCTTTTGTTGAATCTTTTGTTGATCTAGGCCTTCAACAATGTGTGTTAACACCTACCCACTGCAAAGGCAAAACACTTGACCTATTGCTCACAAACTCTGTGTCAAATATTAATGACCTAATGGTAGGTGAGAGAGATAGTGCTTGCAAGTCTGACCACTTCCCCATCAATTTTAAGATCAACGTTAAAGTTGGTAGGAAGAAGCCAGTCAGGCGTATGTGCTATAACTTTAAGACTGTGAACTGGGAGAGGCTAAACCATGAACTCCGACACACGAATTGGGATGCATTGCTCAATGGCACAGAACCTGAAATTGGATGGAAAAAATTTAAGGACAAACTTTTTAATGTCACAGATAAATTTGTTAAAAAATGCTCTGTCAAGACTGATGGCCAAGATCCATGGTTTGACTCGGAGTGTTATGATGCATGGCGTAAGAAAGTGAGATTACATAAAGAAAGGCATAAAAGTGATAGAGCTGAAATTGCATTCTCCCTTGCTAGGAAAAATTTCAAAAATGTGGTTGCTCAAAAAATGAGGGAAACATTAAATGAATCTGATGATAGTGCTTTAATAACAAAAAAATTTTGGTCCTATGTCAAATCGAAGACAGCTAGTCAGCGGATCCCTGAGTTTGTAAGCCACAAAGGCACTGTCCGCAACTGCCCTGAAGACCAGGCCAACCTATTTAATGACTTTTTCTTCGAGCAGTTCTCTGAGGCATCAACTTATGACATAGATATAGATTACTCTAATGATTGGCGCTTTGATATTGAATTTGACCACAGAAGGGTTCGCAAAATCCTTTCCAATATTAATGCTAATAAAGCTTATGGACCTGATGGTATCCATGGGAAACTTTTGAAAAACTGTGCGGTTGGGCTCGCATACCCTATATCAATACTTTTTCATTCATGCTACAACATTGGGACACTACCAAGGGAGTGGAAACTGGGGCACATTGTACCAATATTCAAGAAAGGGGATAAACATGAGGTTTCAAATTATAGGCCAATTTCTCTTACATGCTTAATCACAAAAGTTCTTGAACGCATAATAAGAGATGAGTTATTGGCACTTACTAATGGCATGATCAATGACAAACAGCATGGTTTCCGAGCTGAGAGATCTTGTGCAACTAATCTTGTAGGACTGTGCGACAGCCTAGCGCTCTCACTGAATGAAAATATGAGAACAGATGTAGTCTACTTTGATTTTGCCAAAGCATTTGACTCGGTTAACCATGATCTTATATTATTTAAGCTAAAGAGCAAATTTGGTATTGATGGGAGGCTACTGAAATTCATCACTGATTATCTAAGAGACAGGCAACAACAGGTCTTGATAAGTGGCAAGTTTTCTTCTATGAGAAACGCCCAGTCTGGTGTACCTCAAGGGTCAATTTTGGGACCATTGCTGTTCATTATGTTCATTGATGATATATCAGTGGGGATTTCACCAGGCACACAACTGTCACTGTATGCCGATGATACTAAAATTTGGCGTAAGATTGTTTCGGAGTCTGATATCCTGCGACTGCAGAAGGACGTTGATTATCTCCATGACTGGTCACTTTCTAATAAAATGAGATTTCATCCCGACAAATGTAAGGTCCTCACCGTCGCAGGAAGGATATCCGAAACAGTTTCCCTCCTTAGTGTCCTACCACTCTTTAACTTTGTATACTCCATGGGAAGAATCACACTTGACTATGTTGATCATGAAAAGGATCTGGGTGTAATTGTGACATCAAATCTCGATTGGAAAGATCAGTGCTCCAAAGTCCTTTCTAAGGCAAACCAAAAATTAGGCATGGCGAGAAGAAATTGTTATTTTGTCCAAGACGTAAATCGTCGTAGAGTACTGTATCTCACTTTAGTGAGGAGCCTATTTGAGCATTGCTCGGTTATATGGAGACCAGTCACAAAATCCCAGATAAGCAAGCTGGAGGGCCTCCAAAAGCGTGCTATTAAGTGGATTCTTCACGAGGAGTATATGAGTTATCCACCATCCACATACATTCAAAAATGCAGACAGCTGAAGATTATGCCGATTGAAGACCGCTTTGACTTCTTGGATCTCATCTTCTTCTTTAAAATTGTGAAGCAACATATACCTGTCACTTTACCCTCATATTTGCAACCATTTCAAGGCCACTCAAGGCTCAGAAATAGTCACATGGACTCTCTATGTTTTGTAAGCTCTATCTCACCTCGAGCAAGCTCCAACGCTTTTGCCAAGAATTTCTTCTATAGGACCCACACTAAGTGGAATCACATTCCTCTAGATATCCGTGAGATAGAGAGTATCACTGATTTTAAAAGTAAACTTTCCACTTACATGTGGGGGAAAATTATCCCGGTGGATTCGGACTCTGAACTTGACTATTCAATAGAAACAAATCCGTAAAATAGTTTATTCAAGATTATCTATTCTTGCTGTCTGCATTCACATATTTCTCAATTTCATCTCACAGCACAATATTTTATGAATTGATTGAATGGGTGTGTGATTTTGTTTAAAGTAACTTATTACAATTTTATAAGGGCCCATGCTTGTGCAGGAGCTGCATTTGCACTCAATATCTGTGTTTTGGTGACCCTCAGGTCCTTTGGTTACATACATTTTGTCCGAGACAATTTCAACTTTGACAATCCATGCTTAGAGGACAATATTATATTTAACTAATTCATTGTGTAAACTTGTATGTAATTGACTGATTTGAAAGATTTCAATTAAAAAAAAAATGAAACCGAAAGTCTTTAAACTTTGTATTGGTTTTATGTATAAGTATCGATTCGCATGACTTTTGACAAAATACCCAATTAGAGTTAGTACAAGCCAAACACAAGGATATTTCGTGTCACAGATCATATGCACCTGTTGCAGCCAGTCACCAAGACCATGGTCGCTATAATTAAGCTCTAAGTGACATGACATTAAGTGACCGTTGAGCCACACTTCTTGACAAATTTTGTTCAGAATAACGACCCAATCATAAGGTAAAAAGTGTAAGCTGTATTTTAAGGGCTAATGTCAGTCCATCTAAGTCGTAAGTTTGGAGGAATAATACGGCTAATTTTGCGATTCTTTAAAGTCCTGAACCAAAATACCCTGCTACGCCGTCAACTGGGCCCAGGAAACCCTACTGGCTGGAGCCTCCCCAGGAACCCTGACCGGATGGGGCTTAACTTTGAAAGTAAAAGAGTTGGAGACTTCCGGTTTGTTGTAACATGTTCCTCTTTTAAAAGTAACGTTACCTCTCCAGGAGGAAAATTCAAGACAACGTAATTGTTGAGTTATCTCAAAATCTCCAGAAAAGTCCCCTTTCGGGCCGATCAAAAGTTTGCAACTTTAACTTTGCGGATTCCTGTACTCTGGTTGGCTGAATTGTGTCACGTGGTAGCTGCTTGAACATTGGAATACGCCACGCGTGCAAATCATGCTTGTTGTTGCGCGCGAGGTCAAGCCGTCTGTTTAAATTAAACCAACTCTAGTACCACCACCAGGCGGTAACTTTTCCTGGGTCACTTTGAAAGTAAAAGAGATAGAAACGTCTGGTTTTCAATAAAATGTTCGCCTTGTAAAAATAACGTTTCCCCCAGGGGGAAAATTAAAAACAATGTAGATTTTGAATTATCGCGAAAAGTCATATTTTAGGTCATATAAAACTGCACAGCTTTAACTTTGCAGATTGTTGTTCTCTGATTGGCTGAATCGTATCACGTGGTACGCAGTACAATTGCATCTTTGGAATGTTTGAAGCGTGCAAATGCAATGAACTCACGAGCGCGCGCGGAGCTCAACAAGCTGTGAAAAGGCGATCACCCTGTAGTAATATCGCTAGCCAGTAAGGTCTGCTGCCCTGCGGTTTCTTTGCGTTCGCGACTATACCCATTTGTGATTCCACTGTGTGGACGTAGGTATGACAAATCATATATCTTCGTAAAGTACATCCTCTGACTAGGAAATCACAAGTTTAATCAGTTCTGGAGACTGTTCCTGGACAGAGTTATGACGGTTTAAAACTTCCGCGCCGCGCAATAGCCCCAAAATGGCTAAAAATATACATCGTCGGAGAATAACTTTGCGTAGGGAATGCGCGAGCACGACAATATGATAGTTAACATTGATTTTCGGCCGCCGGCACGATAGCTTAGTTGGCTAAGAGGGCGATTGACCGTGCTAGCTGAGGGTTCGAATCCCGGTCTGACCTTTAATTTAGTTTGAACTGAAACAAGTTGTTTACTATTTTCATCAAAAAGCTTCTCTAGTGTTAATTTTTTTTTTGTAATTTGTAAAGTTCGTAGATTCCTCTACAGGGTCATCGAATAGTTCGACCGCCCTTGTTTTACAGTACACTACATTGTAGATGTTCTGAAGGAGTATCCTAAGATTCTTGATCTTTTGGCACAGGCACCCCTCCTCATTTAACCCTCAATCAAGTTTCCTATCATTCGGCTGAGTCGACCGAGGAGATCGCATAGATCCAATGAATCCTTAGCTACTCCCTAAACTGAGTGAAACTGGGATTCGAACCCTTAACCTTCTGTACAGAAGGCGGAAGCTCTAACCACTAGGCCACTCTAACCACTAGGCCACTCAACCTTGTTAGGTTAATATTGATTAGTTAATCATATTACAAGTTGTACTATAGGATGAAATGCATAATTAGAAATGGGAAAGCAGCTATACGCAAAGCGTCGTTATGCTACAATATTATAGTAATAACATTGTTTGTCTCAGATTATTTTTAATACAAGAAGCGACCAGCATCGCATCTTCATCGATTAGTTCGGAGTCGTCGCTGTATTCAGCTATAACATTGATTTTTAATTGATGCTATAGCAGATATGAGCAGCTTTAATCAGTCTGATTTGGTAGGTTTTGGGCTGGGCACAGTTTACTAAGGATTCTGTTTCTATCGGTTGTAAAACTTGATGGTCTGCTGTGAAAAAAACATTTTGAAGGCAGATTGCAGAAAGCTCTGGATTGGTCTTTTAAATGCCTTTCTCAACGACAATCCCTCCTTAGCAGTTACTTATATTAAAACTTTTTGTTCGGACTATTGACATGTAGTGTCTGGAGAAGGAGGGCAACAAAGGAGCACTTCTCAGTTGTACAGTGGGAATTTCTAGACGCTGCTATCCATTACCTTCGACATCTGAAACAGATTTTAATATAAGCAACTAATTAATAATACGGGTGAGACTTAAGTTTCAGTAAAATTAAATCTGACACTTGTGTGCAGTAACGAGAGAAAATCCAGTGCATCTCAAACTGCTAAACTTGGCTTACTGTTTGAAAATCGTGACCTAGAATTGTTGAAATTCCAGCCTCCCAAGATCAGAGTTGCTTTTACGTCCTCTTAAGAGGCTATCGAGATTCGAGATTCCACACTGTGTATGCTCTTTTCTCTGTACTTCCGGGGGTTGTATAAACCTGAAAAATCAAACAGTTCAATACCAGAGAGAATGCTGAAGACTCAGAAAGTTGTCCAAAAATGTTTTCTTTAAATACACAAATCCGTATTTTTCTCTTTAGTAGCGATTTGAAACAAAATTTACCTTCTTTCGGACTGAATTTTTAACTGAATTGAAGTATAAACGATGACCTCTACAATAGTATTAATTACTTAGTAAAGTTATCGTCAGAAGTCAAGTTATGGTTGATTTTTAAAGCTTGAAAAAGCTAAAATTAAAAAAAAACCTTTGCTCAATGACGCGCGGCTCAAGAATGCGCGTGTGTTGCGAGCGCAATTATTGCTTACAATTTTCTTTCATTCGGCAAAAAAACAACTGTGACCAACATACATGTTATAAAACTCTGCCTAAAATCCTGGAATGTTCTGGAATTATAGGGTGTGCAAGGATTTGGGATCGTAATCAATTTTCCCGCCAAATCCAAACTTTTTCCTGTAGCATATTATCACAAATACGGCGTGTACAATTTTTGCGCGTTATAAACCTAGATTCGTTCTGGCGAATAACGAAGCCTCTAGTTCACATCCAATGAGCAGGCTAGTATCATGAAGGAAAGATTTCGAGTTGAGAAGACGTCAGATGGCATCTTGGAGTATTCAAAGACAGGACAACACCTGTTATGCTCCAGCTGTACAAATCCCTGATAAGGTCCAGAGTGGAGTACTGCTGCCCGCTTTGGAATCCAAACAAGATCTATGATATCCAGAGCATACAACGCCAGTTCACTAGACGGATTCTAGGGCTCAGAGACACCGATTATTGGAATAGACTGAAGGAACTGAAACTTACATCACTGCAAAGACGCCGAGAACGCTACATCATCATGTAAGGTCCTCACCGTCGCAGGAAGGATATCCGAAACAGTTTCCCTCCTTAGTGTCCTACCACTCTTTAACTTTGTATACTCCATGGGAAGAATCACACTTGACTATGTTGATCATGAAAAGGATCTGGGTGTAATTGTGACATCAAATCTCGATTGGAAAGATCAGTGCTCCAAAGTCCTTTCTAAGGCAAACCAAAAATTAGGCATGGCGAGAAGAAATTGTTATTTTGTCCAAGACGTAAATCGTCGTAGTGTACTGTATCTCACTTTAGTGAGGAGCCTATTTGAGCATTGCTCGGTTATATGGAGACCAGTCACAAAATCCCAGATAAGCAAGCTGGAGGGCCTCCAAAAGCGTGCTATTAAGTGGATTCTTCACGAGGAGTATATGAGTTATCCACCATCCACATACATTCAAAAATGCAGACAGCTGAAGATTATGCCGATTGAAGACCGCTTTGACTTCTTGGATCTCATCTTCTTCTTTAAAATTGTGAAGCAACATATACCTGTCACTTTACCCTCATATTTGCAACCATTTCAAGGCCACTCAAGGCTCAGAAATAGTCACATGGACTCTATGTTTTGTAAGCTCTATCTCACCTCGAGCAAGCTGCAACGCTTTTGCCAAGAATTTCTTCTATAGGACCCACACTAAGTGGAATCACATTCCTCTAGATATCCGTGAGATAGAGAGTATCACTGATTTTAAAAGTAAACTTTCCACTTACATGTGGGGGAAAATTATCCCGGTGGATTCGGACTCTGAACTTGACTATTCAATAGAAACAAATCCGTAAAATAGTTTATTCAAGATTATCTATTCTTGCTGTCTGCATTCACATATTTCTCAATTTCATCTCACAGCACAATATTTTATGAATTGATTGAATGGGTGTGTGATTTTTTGTTTAAAGTAACTTATTACAATTTTATAAGGGCCCATGCTTGTGCAGGAGCTGCATTTGCACTCAATATCTGTGTTTTGGTGACCCTCAGGTCCTTTGGTTACATACATTTTGTCCGAGACAACTTCAACTTTGACAATCCATGCTTAGAGGACAATATTATATTTAACTAATTCATTGTGTAAACTTGTATGTAATTGACTGATTTGAAAGATTTCAATAAAAAAAAATACATCTGTGGAAAGTTCTCCAGGGTATATGGTCATGTTAGAGATTGATGGGTCCCTTTTTTACTTTTTTCTAATAAATCATCCTGTGTTCGTGGAGCTATACTGTGACATTTGGATACATAGCTTAGGTAGCGAAAAATCACATCCTCCTCATAAAAAAGAAAAGAAATTAAAAGCTCAACCTGGAACGAAACTATAGCCATTCTTGTATTTAAAGAGAGTTGTGATAACTGAGCACCTGTTCTGATAATTAAAACTCTCAAATTATGATCAACGAGCAGTAAATTTATGGTTTTGATGCAGATTGAACAGTAGAAATATATCAAAAACTGAGGCTCCACCAAAGCTGATACAAACTCAAAATGGCCCTAAAACTGCATTAACTACACCTCCCCCCTCTTGTATGGACTGATTATTCCTAGAAAATCGACGACCCTCTACCGCAACATGTTCGAGGAGAAAAACACCTGGGCTTCTTGGGCCTTGGGGCTACCAACCACAATCCATCCTCATGGACTACGAGCTCGCCATTCACAACGCAGTTTCCTCATGCCTGCCTGCCTAGTATGGGCCGAAAATAAACTAGTAGTAAACTATGGCTCAGATCATATCTCAAATTGGCAATGTTACGTATACAAATTTGCAAGTAACAGTTCAGATCATGTCTCTAATTGGAAATGTGTCGTATTGAAATCAGATCACAATTTCGGCGTTTTTTTCTGGTACCCTTAGTCGGACAGATGTCGCTGTCGGACAGATGTCGCTGTCGGACAGGAGTCGTGTTACCGGAGCAAACGTCAACTTAGCGTCTAAAAATGTGTTTAAAGTGCTCCACCAGGTTGATACAAACATTTTGAACTCAATCAATGATTCCATCAGAAAGATATGATAATTGTTAACTAATTTTAATGATCAAACATTCCCATATGGTGGAGCAGTAAATAGAAAATCACTAGTTTACGTCTCTAATTTATGGTTTTGATGAAGATTGAACAGTAGAATCTATTACGTATTACATAAGTTCTCACGCAACACTCTGTAATATAGATTTAGCTCCCAGTGCTCCACCAGGTTGATCTAATTGGTCAATATAATTATTATATATCACTGTACTAGGATTGCTAGCTGAGGGGACAAGATATGAGAGGGATATTTAAGTCCACGAATTTCTACCTAAATATAGTAACTAAAGATCCAATTCTGCTCCACCAGGTTGATCCCAGGGTAATCACTACTTTATAAATCACTTAGGGGTGAACTATCATACATATTAAAAAGCTATAAGTTCAATTAGTTCTAATTTTAGTACTCTTAAAAGATGGTTTTAAACGTCCAAAATTTAGGCTTTTAAATACGAGCTCCACCTTTGTTGAGCAGTTTTTGGCAGTCTTAATCACCATAGTATTAGGATAATTAGCGTCTGGAATAATATTCACAGATCATTATGAGACAAGTTTAATGGCAAAATGACTGATTTTGAACAAGTCAAGTTTTAGAATGAGTCCATCCACTTGAGTTGGGAGTTTGGGACCTTATGGGACCTCCTAACAAAGCAAATGGTATTAAAAACAATGTGCCATTGAGTTTACAATGAAGTTTTGGTCGAAATTATAATATGACCATGTTTTCACTTGGTATAAGTTGACCTATTTTACACCTATTTTACGCTCCACATAGGTTGCACACCAAACGTGTCTCAACCGAAACAATACGTGTTCCCATTATATGCCTTCTTCACCTGTAGACATTGATAAATACAGATATGCCACATCCACCTTCCCACAAGTGGAGCACTTTAATTGTGTTTTTAAATGGTCACTGGCTCCACCAAAGTTGATATTTGGATTTTCTGATGACATGAATCTGTAGAGAAGTGTCATAGGAATACTGTGGTGAAATATTTTCTGCAAGCAAGCTATGGTTTGGATTTTATGAAGTCATAACTGATTGACAGTGAAAAGTAGGTAATTAGTAGAAAAAAAAGGGACCCATCAATCTCTAACATGACCATATGTCCAAATGAACTAGATGTACAGTTCAGAGAGAATGTCAGACTGGGAGTTAAAGTTATACTCCCTTCTCTCACAAAAAAAGCATCAGCTGCTGCACGCTCCACCTACGACCACACCTTCCTGCTACTGGAATACACTATACACTAGTGTACGTGTAATAGTGTATACATAGTATATTACACACCAGACCTATCCATTCATAAGGAAACATTGTCAATTAGCGGAAACCGTGCTGATGGTCTGGTGATATCATTCATTCCCAATCAAGTTCAACTGTCACTCAGGCGTGAGGTTCTGGGGTTCATCAACTGAGCTACTAATGGATCAGAAGTTTTACTCCCCGTTTAATAGTCCGAGTAGTTATCAAATATTCAGTCAGAACTTTCAATGAAAGGAACAAATCATGAAACTAAATAATAATACACGATTAAATCAGATTGCTATTTGCTATTGTGTATTCAATACGGTTATTATCACCTTAGTATCCTTGTTTCCTACATGTGTAATAAGTAATAACTCACCCAAGAGGGAGACAGCAAGAACTGTTTGGAGTATTCCAATACCGCCAGAATGTGTCGCCATACACTGTACTACCATTTATAACCTGAGGACCATGTAAGGAAAGGATTAAATTAAACTCATTACATTCGAAATAATGGCGCTTAATAAAATCTAGTATCTTATTGGGTTATTAAACTAACCTGCCTTCAATCAAAGAAACAAGCTTGGGAAGAACTAGATGTAAATAAGGCGCAAGTTTAATATCGGAGCAGAGCTATTTAATAATACAATGAAACAATAAGTTTTATTTTACATTCCTTTAATCATAAATACCCTAAATAAAATAAGAGCTTAAACCACGAATTAGTTAACTAGAGGTAAACTTGAGGAAATGTTCGTTGGTGAATGTATATAATTATTTTAAAATCTTTATTTGGTTGTTAGTATTTTTATTATGGCAAGTGGTTGAATTTAGGGAAATTCAGTGAGACAAGGTCAGTTTCTAAATTGTCTTAGAAAAATTTCTACTTTACAGTAGGCGATGCTGAAGTGGCAGGAATGAGGGACCAAAACACTTGGGGCTCACAATAGCCCATAAATATAAATAACGGCAGAGTAGATTGTTTTTTTGACGATTTTTCCAGGTCCAAGATTTTCAAAATGGAATAAAAATTTTTTAAAGGCCTATCTCGAAATTCTAAAAAGAGCAAAAGTTTCTAAATGGTGCTTAGAACATATCCTGAAAGTTTCAGGGTGCAGGTGATTACTCAAAAAATGTAGGAGAAGATAGATTTTTAGACTAGATTTTCAGGGCGCGCGATTGAAAGACCCCCCCCCCCCTGCCCCCTTTGCGTCTGATACTAATTATACTGGAGAACAATCGCCATTCCTAAAAGCTATCCGACAAAAAAATTACAAAAGCTCAACTTTCACTCACTGCCTAGTGCATTATGTACTAGCAATAATTCGAATATAAAACTTATAGAGAAAGTTCTGACTTTTGCACTTTAAAACGACTGATCGGTATAACAGGATGCCACGACCATTGATGAAAGTGTTACTCGCAGCCCAAATTGGCACTGGGTGTGACACTCAGTCAAGAATAGGTACCAAATTGTCAGCCTTAAAGGCAATTCCGGAAATGTACCTTGAAGGCTTTGAGGAGAACTAAATGAAGCTCAGATCAAGAAATTTGAGGAATACTTGGTGAAAGTTTTTCAAGCTTACAACAGAGTTTGTCACATTTTTGAATTTTTGGCACGCACTCAATTTTAGGCCTCATTTTTGACTAATTTTGGCTTAAATTTGGCAAAAAAAAGTTTTGATGCCTCAGGTTGCCCCACTAATGCATGGTACCATCTGAAAGCTCAGACGATTCTCTAAACAATGGTATAAGAACTGTTCTGGGTTTTTTTGGGGCTTTTTTGTAATATTTTTTTGAAAATTATTGACTTGAGGCCTGAGCGCATACTTTAATACTCAATTTCTTGCCCAGATGTTGCCCTGATTTTGGCTTCCAGTTTTTTCTGAGGCTCCAATTGTAGATATCATTACAGGAACTTGTACAGAATACATTTCTGCATCTATTCCTACATTTCTAACAAAAAATATTGAAAACTGTAGAATTTGTAGCATTTTAAATGAAATCACTTCCATGATTATCGCAAACTGAAATATTGGCAATTTTGGTCATTTTTGGCAGTTTTTCTGACCCAGAATCCACAATTTAGCTGCTATTCAGCTATAAATTGGGTCAACCATGTACTTTCAGCCTACTGACCATATTAAAGTGGTTTCATTGAAAAATATTCATTTTTACCCACATTATGTAGCAAAAACGGCTGAATTTTGTGCACGCGCCCATATTTGGGCATACGCGTTTTGCCCATAACGCAGAAAGATATCTGGGTGCACAGGAAGTCCGTAGCTACAAGTAGATAACCTCAAAGCCGCTTTATGAGCTTGTTTCAAAAACTCGATTTTTGGGGCCAAAATTAGGCATCTGAAAATGATGAAAAACTCAAATTTACAAGTATCCAAGCATTCTGGGGCCCTGAAATTGCTCTAAAACGTAAATTTGACACAGGTTAACCCAATAAAATGACATTCAGTATGTCCAATGCCCAGAAATATGCCTAATATAGCATGACCCACTGTTCTGGCCCACTGTGAATATGTTGGTCACATGTTTCTGTAAGAACAAAGATATCGACAACAGATGTGGCGGGAGATATAAATTCTCAAAGAAAGGTGTGCTTAGCTATGCTTATTGTGTCTGCCAAAACTGATCTGTTGCAACACAGTCAAAGACAGATCAGGCCCACCTAACTCAACCTAAGACTCTAAGAGAAAGCAGCCATTGAAACCTTCAAGAAATACACCTAAAAAGGCTAACAAAGACTAATTTCATATATTTCCTAAGAATATTTAGGTATTGATCAATCATTGCATATGAATAATGAACTGTTGCTTAACTATCCCGTAAAAGGAAAATCTGACTATTTTATTTATTATCAAGGAAAAGTTTAATGCTATTCATCAAATAGATTATCATCCTATATTGAGTTGTGATCTCATGTATCTATTTTACAAATTTATGTCAATTTACTACATAACAATAGTAGTAGAAGTAGTATAAAGATGTCATATGAATGGCTTAGAATTAACAAGCTGAGACGAAATGTTTCAAAATCCTCATTCATGGTATTAGACAAATGTCCTAATCTTGATAGACTGTCGATCTCTCTTGATTTGGAAGATGGCAGTCTTCACATAGAAGAAACCAAATCCCAGAAACACCTAGGTCTGGTGATAGACAACCTATTAAACTTTCAGGACCATATTGATTATGTAAGATCATGTTACTAGGAGAATAGGAGCATTATATAGGTTTTTAAAAACTACTTCCACAGAAATATAGAAAAATATTTGTAAACGCTCTTATATGCTTCCTCAATTTGATTACATGGATATTATAGCTGATATTACATTTTGAATGCTTTCGACTAGTTTCTAGTACAATTGCAAAACAAAAAATTATTTTAATGCAGTCACTCAGATAAGTTTATAACAGGACACATCAACAAAGACACATATTCTGCCCACAATAATGGGCCATAATTGTTTCAATTATGAAACTGTATAGAATTATTATTATTATTAGTACAATCGCCCACAATTTAATACTCTGTACTCAGATTAAACTAACTCACCTAGCCGGGCCAAAGGGATCAGAGAGGGCGAACAGAACTGTTGTATTATTATCTCATGACGTCAGAATGTAGTTCATCTTGAGAAGAAAATATTTCCACTACTCTTCATCACATTCTGGAAAATATTATTCATTGATGTATAGTATAATTACACAGCAGACTTCTGTTTTGATTTGAACGGGTCATGTTTCATGAGCAAATTAGGAGCCCTTAGTCCCCTTACCACTGCCGTAGATCATAAGTCCATATTTTAGCAACCATATTTTGAGAATGCTGCATTCTGGACGGCATTCTTTTTCAGATCAATTCACCTGGACAAAAATAATTATCGAGTAGTTACCCTGTCTTCACAGCAAAAATTATTCGATGAATGAAAGATTGTTATTATCACTTATCAAACGAGATAGCTACAACAAATATCATCAAGTGTCTAGACGAAAGGTCTTACCTCTATTTTCTGGTTGCGGGTTGGTTGAACATTTTAAACTTAAAAGTTAGCGGTGCCAGCGGTATCCATTTGCAATTGAACAATGTTAATGAAAGATATCAGCTTAAATTACGTGCATGGCATGACTCTACAAACTGGTTACCATAAACTCAGTTTCAATACTCAAAACGAAAATATTTACTCCGCAAACATTTACAAAGTTTGCAATTTGGATAAAGCTTGGATGCGCGGCTTGACTACTTGACTAGAATTACATTGAAAAATAAAATTTCCAATGTCTTATTTCAATTTTTTGGAATTTTTCCAATCAATGTTAATGACCAAAACTTTATTAAGCCTACCATATACTAGTGTAGCGTAACAATTATATTATATATTAATCATGCCAATACCATAATTATCAATACTGAACGCGTAATATTAATATTTGTCATTAGCAAATAAAATAAACTACCGTCCGCGTCAATCATTAATTACAAATAGTCTGCTCCATTAAATAAAACAATATAATCGTTTATGAAATGACCACTTGTATATTTGAATGACAATTATATTGCCAAAATTGCAAAACTGAAGTTTAAATTAATAATGAAATATAATTTGAAATTAGTCGTTGTTGTATTGCGCGCGGCGCGAGTGACTGTTCGTTCAACACACTCGCTGCTAATAATGTATGCGTCTAATGCATCATTAATGGAAGGCGCGCCGGTGTAATTTTTGCGCGCGAATTTACGATTTAAACGAAAAGAAACTGCAGGGTGGGTTCTTCGAAGTAGCGCCGCGCTCCGCTTTCTTCTCGAAATGTTAGCGCGCCAGGCCAAATCATTAACAATGGTCAAAGAAATTCGGCGGAATGACAGGCTGAGCGCGGCACATGGTAATAACAAATAATGGTCTGGCCCGGCTCGCGCTACTTCGAAGAAATTTAGACGAGTAACATCCGTCAAGAATTTCAAAATCAATCTTGTAGCGCGATGCGTTACTGTGTTGACGGATGTTGCTCGTCTAAATTTCTTCGAAGTAGCGCGCGCCGCTTTCTTAGCGCGCGCCGGGCCAGATCATTAACAATGGCCAAGTTTGAAGTTACTGTGCCGCGCCACGCACTCAATGAGGCCTCTCACAGCGACAGATCGGCGAAATGCGCTACTGTGCCGCGCCGAGCTGAGATGAATTGACATCGTCAATTAAAATAAATCTAAATGCATTAAATACTGTATACCATTTGACCAAAATTACATTTTAATGAAACCAAAATATTGAGTGCGCCGCGCATAATTTCGCCAATTTACACTGTACTACGAAAATCGAGCGCTATATCAAGGGTCCTGGAAGTAGAGAAAGGAAGCTTCACGCAGTTAGTTTTCTCAACGTCTGGTGGAATGGGTGGTGAAGCTGAAAGACTAGTAAAGAAGCTGGCTAGTAAGATGGAATACCACACAGGGCAGAGGTACTCAGATGCTGTGGGATACATTAGGAAGCGCCTTCGTTTCGAAATCTTAAGAACGACGGTAATTTCTCTCCGGGGAGACAGAGGGGCGAGAAAGAACTTTGTCAATATAGACAGTTTAGATTTGAACTTGGAGCCGCAAGACCAAGGGTGATTTTCAAAATATTGAATTTTTGAAGGGTTATTTTTATATAGGGTCATTGTGACATTATGTGTATACTGTTTGAAACAATTTATAAAAAAAAAAAATACTGTTATATTTTCACACGAAAACCGCAAAAGATTTTGAACGTTGTTGTTGTTGTACTTCAGTACACTTTATGCCTCTACCTTATTAATGTTTCGATATGTAATGTGATAATATTAACTACGTTTCCATCTATCTTCAAAGGAGTCCTCATCCACAATAATTACCATTGTTCATATCGGCGGCGCGGTGGGGCTGTTACTAATTATATTCGCTCCAAGATTTTCACGTGACTTTGGTTTTTTGGTTTTGCAGGAAAACAATTACTTGTATACCATCAGGGCCTTTTGACAAAAATTTCCTTAAATTTGGGCTAGCGATTCAGTGGGGCCGTGGCGGTGCTAGAAGACCTAACGTATGTATAGTGACTTTTGCCCCCTTTCTGTAGTCTGTATCAAATTTATTGATAAATGTGGGGGGGGGGGGGGGGGGGGGGGAACCATATTAAAGTATATTAAAGTATATCCCCGGGTCAAAATCGGAAAAAATCCTACATTTTAATATACTTTAATATACCTACAATTAGAAGATTTATATTCTTCATTAAGATTTACATGATGCAGATGAACTATATTTTTCACTCAGATTCGCAAGATAAGCCTGTTTTAGGACTAGTACATATATTTCCATCCAGATTGGTCAAAAATTGGCTGAGCTATGAGCTTAAAAAATATGCCCATATTTGGGCATACGCTTTTGCCCAAATTCGCTTTTGCCCAAATTCGCTTTTGCCCAAATTCGATAGTGAAACAAATTTTAGTGAAACAAATTTAAAATTTTATCCTTTATTTTACAATCATAATATAATAATATTTATAAGCCTCCGTTTTGAAATTTTTAAATTTTAATCCATTCACATTTCTATTTAAAATTCAATTTTATGTACAAGTCAATAATAGTACAGACAGATCCGTCTGAAAAAATCGATCTGCTGACACACGAAGCTTTCAGAGGATTTTTGACGTTTTTGAGTCCCATTAGGTGCCCTTTATGGCTGACCAACTTTTCCAAACTTTTCCACGTGTCTTAAGGCCACTTTTTGCCACTTTACCACTTTTTACCACCTTTCTTGTTTGTCGAATATCTTTAGTTGTGAACATCGTAAAAGGTTGCGAATCAATCGAGTGTGTTCATATTATCAGGAAGAAAAACTTTTGTTCAAACAATTTTTACGTCAGATAATAAGTTAATTGGATAATTATCAATTAACCAATTAGCAAAATTCTAAAAATTTTTTATTGGCTAAAAATGATCGGAATAGCTTAAAACACGGAGAAAAGTAGTTTTTAGAAAAAATTTGAAAATTTTTCACTTACATTTTTTTTTCGAGACTTCGAAAAATTTCGAAAATTCAAAATATTTTTTTCCGCCAAAAGTGATCAAATTGCATGAAACGCGGAGAAAATGATTTTCAAAAAAAACTTAGTCAATTTTTCGTTTCAAGAATACTTAAATCACCAATATTTGTAGTTGGAGTTCAGTAAATCTCGGCAGATTTTAGTAATAATCAGGAATTACTAACTCTAAGTGGAAAGGTCTGAAACTGAAAAACGTTAAGTTTAACCATACGATCGCGATATAAGAGTTTCATAACTAATTACAATACAGCCTTATCGATTTTCACAGAAACTGCACCAATGGCACAGTCAAGATCGAAACGATAGCCTGCTGTACTGTCATTTTATTGATTTCAATGATTAATCAGTGGGGTTAAGATAATCACATTTGTAATAAATTAAACCTCTCTGTACCGTCAATTGTGCTAATCTAAACCGGCCTACCAGACCTCTTCTTTTCCTCAACAATCAAACCGAGTTGTTCATATCGCATTTGGTGGGTGATGTAAACTAAGTAGTAATACATATCGAGCTATATTCAATCACAATACGACACAGTACGTGTATATTATATGGCTCTTAATGAGGTTTATGAAACGCTTTATACCGTGAGAAACCCGGTATAGAGAGGTTTTACAGTTTATCACGAAAACGTCTACTTGGTCTCATGGCTCATTTACAGTTCGAAGAAGGGCAAGAACAGATCAGGGAAACTGAGGAACAGCCAGGTCCAGGAAGCAAGTGTAAATACACCTTCCAACATCTACTGTGACTGTTTTGTATTGTACTGCATACCGCTTCATTTGCGGGATACCTCAAATCACCCCCATATGTCAGGGTCGGCTAAAAGTAAAATCAACAAGGGTAACATACGGGAAAGGGTAAGATTTAGATACGAGTACAGTGTCGGGCAAGGGGTAGTAAAGAACCGGTAATAATTAATTCAGTGAAATGTTCCACGAGAGTCAGGATATTTTGGAAATTGCTTATAGAGACAGATCCTGATCAGGAAGGATTGTTAATGTTATTGAGGATGTTGATTTGATATCCGGACGTCGTGAAGTAAAAATACAGGTTCTTCCCGCAGGATATTCGGGGCCCATGATGATCAGCTCGGGATTAATGTGGGACAGATCGAAGACTGACAACTGAACCCAATTGAACCTAGTTCCCACTAACCAATCAGCTTAATTGGTTAGGGTTAGGGTTAGGGTTAGGGTTAGAGTTAGGGTTAATCTAAATGTCTAAATTGGGTTCAGTTGTCCGGTAGCCCGCTCTTGCGAGTTGACATTCTAAGCTTTCTGGTCTTTTCTTGCCTTCTTTGAGCTGTCAAAGAGCCATGAGACCAAGTAGACGTTTTCGTGATAAACTGTAAAACCTCTCCATATCGGGCCTCTCACGGGAGAAACGAGAAGTGTACGGTATAGAACGTTTCATATACCTCATTAAAGGCCATAATATAATATACACGTGTTGCATTGTGTCGTATTGTGATTGAATATAGCTCGATATGTATTACTACTTAGTTTACATCACCCACCAAATGCGATATGAACAACTCGGTTTGATTGTTGAGGAAAAGAAGAGGTCTGGTAGGCCGGTTTAGATTAGCACAATTGACGGTACAGAGAGGTTTAATTTATTACAAATGTGATTATCTTAACCCCACTGATTAATCATTGAAATCAATAAAATGACAGTACAGCAGGCTATCGTTTCGATCTTGACTGTGCCATTGGTGCAGTTTCTGTGAAAATCGATAAGGCTGTATTGTAATTAGTTATGAAACTCTTATATCGCGATCGTATGGTTAAACTTAACGTTTTTCAGTTTCAGACCTTTCCACTTAGAGTTAGTAATTCCTGATTATTACTAAAATCTGCCGAGATTTACTGAGCTCCAACTACAAATATTGGTGATTTAAGTATTCTTGAAACGAAAAATTGACTAAGTTTTTTTTGAAAATCATTTTTCTCCGCGTTTCATGCAATTTGATCACTTTTGGCGGAAAAAAATATTTTGAATTTTCGAAATTTTTCGAAGTCTCGAAAAAAAAATGTAAGTGAAAAATTTTCAAATTTTTTCTAAAAACTA